GTCTACATCAAAATAAGGCCACTCCCATGGCCAAGCTAGAGCTAGTATTACAGAGATAGAGCTGTAGCATCAACAGGTTGGCAAAAAGACTCAGAGAAAGAGAAGAGGTCAGTGCTAGGCTTTTTTTTTTTTTTTTTGGCATCCCAATCCCAAGTATGACCAAAAGCCTGTGGGGCAGGCCTGGAAGGATCATGTACTTGGAAGTGAAGCAGAATCCAGGAGACAAAGCCAAGTATACATGAGAAGAAGCATAACAGAGGATGACAAGAACAGAAGGAGGTCCTGGATGACATATGCACTAAGACCGTCTAATGATCCCAGTGAGAAAGGGAACATGAACGATGTCATAGAGAATGTAGTGCTGCTTTTGAGTGTTTGAAGCAGATGTTATAGCCTCAAATATTAAGCTGAACACAACAGGACACAAAGGAAGATTACAAGATTTCATAAACAAGTTGCTATGGTAAAAAGAACAGATTAGGGAGGCTATGAAGATGGAAGGAGCTAGTGAATGAATAAGACAAAAAGGCTGAGAATGAAGCATTGCCACAGAGAAGCACAAAGGCTTACATCATAAGTCAACAGAAGTTTTGAGAGTTTGTTAACATTGGGCGGGGTGCTGAAGGGGAAGGGTTAAGAGCAGTAGAAAAAAATAGCAGCAGGAAGGCTGGTCTGTAGATCAGCTGGTGAATTCCATGAATTACACTAGAAATAAAGGAAGCGTATATTCATCATCATCTCATCTTGCTGTGGAAAGCAAGGTCCAGTTATTGCATATTGAATAAAATTATGAGGAAGAGGAGGACTGTGTAAGCCACCTTGGGTTCCTTGAAGGATAAAAGGCAGGATATAAATATAATAAATAAATGGCAAAGACTGATCCTCACCAGATGACTTGTACTTCCTACTTGAAATGTCTAGAATAGGGATTTGTGGAATTTTAAATGCTTAGTTGCACCATTTCTTTTCAATAAATATTGAATGCAGCAAATGTCAGCTGCACACAAGTGTAGGTAGGCAGGACAGAGATTCCTGTTCCAAAATAACATGTCTTGAAACTCCAAGAGTGAGCCTTTTAAGAAGAATATAATAAAACATTTATTGCATAATTTTGATGATGTTGCTTGGATACCTTTTGCCTGTGTGTTTGTGGCTTATTTGTGTAGTCACAGTAATCTCCAGCCATCACAGCAAGGGGTACATGTGAAAAGGACTACCAAATTTATTAGCAGGAATACACCTCCATTTACAGTGTCTGTAAAATGCTACCACGGAGCTGCTTTTTGCTGACACGCTGCATCGATGTATATTCGACAGGGCTTCTTTTCCACATTGTCACAAAAGAAGTTCTAAACACATGTGCAAAGCCTCCCAGACAGTTAAAAAAATATAGCATAGTGCTTCCAAGGGCTTGAAGTGCCTCTGGTATGACAGAGATCATCCCTACAATTCATTTTGACGTGTTTGGAAGCATGTCTGTAAACAAACAAAACTGACACATCAGAGGAACCAGTCTTCTGGGTACAGCACCTTAAATCTTGAGTTAATTTTAAGAAATGTCATGCCCATAGTACCCTCTTCACTGGTGAGCTCCCTCTTCCTATAAATAAGCCCAAAGGTCAATAATTTCTTTCCACCAGGGAAACTGGCCACAAGCCCAAAATCACTCAATGCAATGGTGGCAAAGATGGCAATTTATCTAGGAATTCTGTACTCTGCTGCTCACCCCTCTAACTATATGCATTCCATGTGTTTCCGTAAGTACAACTACCAACTCCTATTTTCATTAGGCAAGTTCCATTGTATTTACCAGGGGCACAGGTAAGAACTTAAAGAACTAGTTTAAAGGTCCAGAGGTCCAGAGGATACAGATTTACATAAAATTTGAATATGTCATTTATATAATAGATTAAAATTTTGAAATGATTTCAAAAAAGGCAAGCCAGATTAATTTCCCATCCAAATCACCTCATTTATAATAACTTCTTCAACTAATTTGCACCCCCAACCCAGATCAATTAACTGAGTCTCTCTTCAATTAATTTGTCCCTGATTTATCCCACCCACAATGGATCTGGTTCAAAATCACTTTTTCTTTTCAACACTTTTTCTTTTCAATGTATAATTGCCCCCATTCAGTAAATCAGTGATACCACCACAAGTACCACCTCCATACATTAAATTCAAATGAAAGGGAATGAATGCAATTCTATTTGAGTGGGTGGAAATTCTGACATGAGATGAGATGGCTAGGCAGGTGACATTTCTTAATCTGACAGAAAGGAATCAGGAAGCTGACAGCTTTGTTGCTGCTCTCCCTGTTGCTCCTCTGCACAACTGGAAACCCAGAATCTACACAACCAGGAAGGGAAAAGACAGAAAGTGCTGAAACTCAGTCCCATCAGGCAGCCATTTCTGCTTCTGTATCACAATGTCCTTGGATTCAGAGACAAGAGAAAATCCCATTGTTTCCTTGTCTAGGGGTAAATTACAGCCAGCCCCACACTGACAGAGCCACTGAGGCCACTTGCTGGCCTGGGTATGAAGTTGGTGGCAGGATTCCTCCTGTAACTACACTGAGTGCAGGAGGGATGGGAGAGCAACTGGCCTCCTTCTCCCACTTTACCTCCCTGTAGTCTGCAGCTTCCTCTTTTTACTTCAGCCTGGCTGTAATACTGACAAAAGAAGTTAACTGATTGGTGGGAGGGAAGATGGCTTCAAGTCTTCCTGGACTGATGAAAAAAGTATTCAGAGTGTTCAGAGGTAAGCTAAAGAAGGAGACAGGTTTTGCTCCCCTCCTGCATGCCCTCAAATTTAATTGCAAAAGTAGACTTCCTTGCCTTTTTTAAAATACCCAAATCAAAATCTGGTTTGGCCCTGAATGGACCTGGGCTTTCTTGGGCTGGTAGGGGGAGGTGACAGACTGGTGGACAAAGATCCCAATAATGGATCCCCCTGAGATTGACAGCTAACACTAGTTTTCATCCATTACCTTGAAAAACATGCTGACATACATATCTGCAACACCCTGTAGAAGAATTCAACTTGAACCCTAAGATGCTAGAACAATCTTGGAAGTGGCCGATGACTGAGTAGGTGGAACTACACCTGTGAGAAGCAGTGTCCTGACTTCTCTCTCACTTATACTTTCCACAATGAATGCACACAAGGTCTAAATTGAGAATACAGTGGAAGGGGAGAGAAAGGTTTTTTTAAAATACTGTGAAAAATGCATTATTGGAATGTCACATGATATAAGAAGTCCCTAGTTAGATCTCTTTCAAATGCTTTGCCAAATGCCTGAAAAATTAAAACCTCTCTCTTCTGGATGCAGATGACTTTCCAATAAAGATTTAAGTTCTTGATCCGTAAAACATTCAGAGCTGTGGAGAGGGAACAGGAAATACTTCACAGGAACAGCAGGGAGAATATCTCTGTATTCATTCATTCATTGGATGCTGCTGGACTAGATAAAATCCCTGGGAATTCTTGGGCTGCATATAGAGCTCAGGATCAAGCCTGCAAAGAGGAAAGTGCCTAAGGAATTACTCCAGAGAAGACGATCAGTGATTAAGAATGTGTATGCTCTTATTCCCATTTGGTGTAACTCCCCTGAGCTCTGCAAGAACCACCAGATACAGTACCTCCATTTACAGCTCTATTTACAACCCACAAAGTACTTTTTTAACCTGATACTTAAGAATTCCAACATTCATCAGTGAGAACACAGCAACCACCTATTAGAAAAGTTCTCCAAATTAGATATTGCAAGTGAGCCTGAAGGGTCTGTCATACCAAAAATGCCATAATCCTAATCATGTCTTCAGGAAGAGCTATTCTTTTACATATAGCTTAAATGCCAGCAGAAGAAAATATCAGGTTTGTGTTCCCCCTCAGCAAAATAGCATAGAATAAATCCAACTGTTTGTGAACTTCTGTTTGTGAAAGTGCTTCTGACCCAGTGGATGCCTCCACTAATAGAAGAAGAGAGGAATTTTTTACTATTTCTATTTCTTTCCTAAACCTTCCCTATGCCCTCCTAACTCTATTCCAGAGGGTTGGAAGACCCCTCTGAACAGTGTGAGAGGCACTGAAGAGGCCTGCAGGGACAATCAGGGAAAATAACTTCCACCCCTCTTGCATGGGCAGAGCCTTCCACTGGGTCAAGGATTCCTTCCCCTTCCCAGTGAAAGGGAAATACTGGATACACCCTGCAATTATTGTGTCCAACACAACTTCATTTATCTCTCTTTCCGGAGAGACATACCATTCATGTAAGGTTGCAAAATATATGGAAGTTAGTATTTACATAAAGCTTACACTGGCACAGAGCCATACTGGAAGGTTTCTGAAAGATGGAATTCAAGTAAATGAGATTCAGGTCATGGGGACTGTAATATTAGCATTAAAAATGCTAATATTAACACTGTGGGTCTGGGCAGGCAGCTCGAGGACTACAAAATAAAGCAGAATTCCTTCTTTGCCCACAAAAGGGAAGGTCTGAGGGCAGAGAACAGAGCCTGCCCTCAGATTCCTGTTCCTGCACAGTGACAGGAAGGCCCTCTGATGGCTGAGAGGATAAAGTGTTCCAGAGCATATCAAGAAAGGCTCTGAGCCTCTCCCATTCCATGAACATGTCATTAGAATACGGGAATGACAACACAAGTTGTGCCCCACCACACACACACAGAAACACTGCCCTTTTGGCAGGTGCTTAGCAGGACAGAAGAAACAGCAGTTCTGCCAGCATGGATTCTTCCTCTCCTTCCCCTTGGACTGCTCTTTCCACAATCAGTTTTGTTTATATATGAATTTCCAAATATCCTGATGTACATTCTGTTGATCCAGGAAGAGAACTACTGCATGGTAGTACTAAAAATGGAATCCTGGAAACTTTTCTTTAAAGAAGACAACAGTGATACATTGCCTTCTTTGACAAAGGCAATATGTGAAAATATGTAAAATTTTCCAGGAAGGAGAAATGAAATCTAGTAACTGACCAGTGATGAGTCTTTGGCAGCAGGGGAAAGGGCATCTTCTAAACTCAGCCCTACTTTCTTCTCACTCTCTTCCTTAGGCCTACAATAAACAAAAAACATTGGTCAGTAAACTTTAAATATATTTTTTAAAATTGTTTATTGTTCTGCCTGTTTTTTTATATTTTTACTCTGTAAATGTTCATGTTTTACAGATAATAAACCAAAACCCCTTATAATTAGAAAGCAGCAAAAAGAAAATTTAAATTTGTTATTTACAATCATAGAAAAAATGTTTATTATAAATAGAAAACTTGGAACTGAGCCCCAGACTTCCAAGACAACCAACCTTAGTAAGAGCAATATTATTTTTCCATGTAATCAGAAGTGCCACACAACCCATTTCAATAAAAACCAGTTTGCCTAAAAAAAATTTTAGCAAGACACTGGGAATTAAAATGTAAAAATACACAGTTCCCATGACCACAAGGGGGCAGCATCTCAGGCTTTCCCTCCGTTAAAAAACAAAAGCAAAAATACCTGCAAAGAAGATCCCACCCAACAAAAACCTCCTCCCTTAATTCAGAGGATGAACTCTGACAAAATACCAGACAGCAGAAACAGAATCTGGCCACACCCACAGCATAGGGTAGAAACTACAAAGGTGCCAAAGCAGTTACACAGGGGAAAAATACTGAAATGATGAAATAGTTTGAAGCAGTATTAGACAAGGATGTAGAAAGCAACAAAGTGCGAGTCTAGAACAAGGTGTGTGTGTGGGGGGGGGGATGGGGACTGAAACAGCCTGGAACCTGATCTGAAGAGAGAGAAGCTGGAATGTGATGCTTATTTCTGTACAGATGTTTTAGTATAGAGCAGATTTGCACAGCATCTCTCTAATGTAGAAAAGAAACACTAATATTTCTGTAACAAATTACAACATGTACAGCAACCATTGTAGCTAACATTCATCAGAGTTGATTAAATCAGATCCTCTTCCTCATTAGACTTTCAGTCCTGATCTATCTACCTATTTCATAAGAATCACTGGGCTGAATCCAAAAACTGCCTACCAGGGGCAAAAATGCGAGACTTCTAATGGGGCAGAGGTATATCACTGGTGGAAATGAGGGGAGGGATTCTTTGCTGACTCCCTTTCCCCCTACAGTCGCCTTTGGGAAGACCCTCTGGAACAGTGGAAGAGATGGCATGGGGAGCAGAAGAGGAAGAAGGAAGCAGTGCAAAATGTCCACTTTCCGCAGGGCTTATCGTGTTTTCAATGGAACTCCACTCTGGAAATGCTTCCACTGGTGAAAAAGAAGCCAGTTCCAACTAATATACCTTTTCCTCTACAGATCAGAAAGCCCCTGTGAGGAGAAGGGAATTTTTGCATTTCTGGCAGGGAAAGAGTTAAACACCAATGCCACCACTTCCTCCTCCTCCTCCTCCTCCTTTCAGAGTTGCTCTGAATATAAAAATAAATGGGGAAAAATAGCCACAAAACTAAGTAAGTTGAACTAAACTTGCAGTTTGGCCCATATGGTTTTTATACATAATTGCCATGTAAATGTTGGTAATACTCTAACAAAATTTACAACTATATAGGAAATGTATTAAGACGCAATGTAACAAAAGTATTCTGGTCTCCACATTCCTTGCATGATACAGTTTCAAATACTGTTTTGGCAAGACCCTCTAAGACAAAAAGCCCATAGGCATTCCAACTATGAAATTTATGTATTATTTGCATCCTGCATTCTCTCCTTTTATTATTATTTCTGAATTCTTTAGCAGTTACACCCTTTAATTAAAATATTTTTCCAAAGTGGCACCCATTTTCCAGAAATAGAGAAACACAGAAAGAGCAACAAAAATAGAATAATTCCTTATTAAAATAAGATAACGAAGAAACAACACTTGTCTCAAAGAGTCCCCAGTACTTTAGTCATGATTTTTAAAATTTATAGTCTCCAGAAAAAATACCGAAAGGACATTATCTGCTTATGCTCACTGCAACATCAGCACAATATAAGCTACCCTGTATATAAGTCCAAGTCCTTACTGTTAATTTTAAAAAGTATGTTATTGAGACCATTTATATCCTGGGTCAGCCATTTACTTAACTTTGATTTAAAAAAACAATTGAATGTAGAAATGGACTGAAAATAAGTCAGAAAACTAAACACTAGGACGGCTAGCTAGCAATGGCAACTAGTCCTGCTACCTATATGGTACCTACGGTATAAGAGGTCTATGTATACGGGTTCCTGAGGAACATGGACAGCAAGTGCTGTTGTATTCATGTCCTACTTGTGGGATCCCATGGGCAGCTTGTTGGCCATTGTGTAAATAGAATGCTGGACTAGATAGTTCTTTGGTCTGATCCAGAACCGCTATTATATTCTGGGATCAGCAATGATGTTTCAAAAAATGCTAGATTTTCACTCCTATACTGTGATGATATGACTGTATTTCATCTATATTCCTCCTTATGTTTTTGTTGCAAGGAACCCAAGCTTACATATTCCTCCTCCACCCCATTTTATGCTTGCAATAACCCTATGAGGTGGGTTAGGCTGATAATGTGTGACTGGCCCAAAGTTACCCAGTGAGCTTCACGGCTGAGTGGAGACCAAAACCCAGGTCCCCAGTGCAATGCTTTAACCACCACACCACACTGGCTCTCTCCAAGATATGGAATATAAAACAGCACAGATTAAAGGTAGGTATTTCTGCTCTTCATTAGGGTCAGTAATAACCCAATAATACTTAAGGGGTTTAAATTTATTGTGGCAGTTTCTATTTATTCATTGCACAGTAAGGAATTTCATATATTATAACCAAACACTTTTTAAAGATTTATGCTAGTCCTACCAACAGCCATGAAAAGACCATTTGATCAGCACATGACTTACATACATGTAACCTACCCTGTCTCATGATCTGGCTCTGGTTCAAAGTGAAACTTCAGGTCTGTGGTCCTAGCTACTTTGTGCTGTGAAGGCTCCTCTAGGATCTTTCTCTTCCCTAGTAATTCAAGCTGGAAAAAAAAAGATTTTGTTACATTTGGGTTCTTAATAATACAGCTTTTTGTTTGGCAGGTTGGAAAAGAGGGGTGGAACCTCATTCAAAGCATGCTATTACTGCTGTGGCTTCTTTCTCATCCCCAGTGCTGTGCTCCTCTTGCCCAACTCTGTATTGACCATTTGGCTTTTTCTGCAATTTTCCCAACCTCGTTCCACTCTCTTTTGTCATTCATACTGCTGTATCATTTCTCTAGCACTGAGCCCTAGCTTTAGTAAGAACGACTTGTAGGCCCAATGTGTTTCTACAGCAGTGACCCCAAGGCCTCTGCCAACCTTCTTTCCTGACATAAACACCATTCTTTTTTTTTAAACCAAACATTCTGTAGAAACATTTCAGGTGCCCTATTTCCCACCAGTTCTAACATAAATGTCCACTGTGATCTGAATATGCTGCCTATAAAATGCTGAAAGCCTCTTCCTTCCACGAACAACTTACTGTGGTCAAACGCTCCAGTGCAGCAAAACGCTCCTCCCACGTGGTGGTGGATTTCTCAAAGGCCTCGTGCCTTTTTAGTAGTTTCTCCACACCATCCACAGTTTGCCCATAATCACCACTGGACAGATACGGTTCCTTGGCAATGAGCCATGCTTCAGCCACTGAGGCATCTCGGGAAAACTGACACACCTCCAGCACTATTGTGTGTGGGGGGGGGGGGAGAGAGAGAAAACAAAAGAAGATTTTAACCACACTCAGCACCTGTAGCTGAAGAGTCAGAGAATGAAGGCATAGCATAGAATTTAAAAGTTCCTTACAGATTATCTTTAAACCCTTCCAAAAGTAAATTTGGGCACTATTTCAAGCTCAGATGTAAGTAAATATGAGGCTACAGCAGCCCTTTCCATTAATGTTCCATCAAAATGTGATTGATTTCTTTTCTGCCTTTACAACTGAGAGAACCTTAGACTGCCTAGAGAGAGAGCTTCTGACTGGAGAAAAAGCAGGATACAAATACATAAGCAAATAAAATAAATATGTAATGAAATACATATGGTAGTCAGAAACTTGAGAGTGCTAAAACACTCCTCCAACATTCAAGAGATACACAGACCTTTAACTTTTAGGGTCAGGTGAGACATACACATCACATGCAGTTGGGTTTAGTTTTTGTCTGCTATGGACAGTGGGTGTATGTTGGCAATTATTGTCAGTACTGTCAGGCTAACCTTCTTCCTCTGCCCCCACACTTACCAGTGCTGCAGTTCCCAAAACTGGCCCCCTAAATTACTGTCATGTCTGAAAGAGAAGCTTTCACTGAGCCCAACTGGCAACTGGGCCACCCCATGCAGCTAACTGTAACTCAGTCTTTCAGCAGGGGTGGTGACTGTGGTCAACAGGGTAGGCATGGCTTTCCCTCCTGCAGGGAAGAGTGGACTTCTGAATAAAACCCCCCTCCCACCCCCACTTCAGCTTGTATTTAATAGGGAAAGTTCCCTAATTAAAATTCTCAAATCTATACCTGTGGCTGTTACACACATTCGTGCAGGAGTGATTGATGCACCCATAAGAGTAACTCTGGGTGGGGTCGACATGGCTGCAGTCCAGAAGGCAGCCATCCCACTGCTTTGCCATTTGGGAGAAAAAGTGAATTCTGAAACTGTGTAAGAATCATGTTTGGCCCACATGAAAATTGTTACACTGTACATTGCCCTGTAAACACATAATCTTAGGCACCGATATTATGGTTAGGCTATCATGTGCCACAGGTGTCACAGCAGAGGTGCAGAAACTGTCAGTCGCACATAGTGCAGTAAGAAGCACATGGAAAGTCATTTGGAACCTGTGCACATGCCCAGAGAGAGAGAGGAGGGGCTACAGAGGAGGGAGCAGACAATGGACTGCCCGATGGGTTGCCAACACCTGCCCAAATTCCATCAGGTTCCACCCACCAATCTAAACAACATGTAGCAATACCAAACAAGAAAAAAAATCACAGAAAGTGTAATATAGACAGTCCCTTACAAATTAAAATGCAAAAGTAGTGCTAGGAGGGCAGGATAAAAGCTCTGTCTAGAAGTACCCGCAGTGCAAAGTGATATTGTAGATTAGTAGTATGCAGTTTTGCTTCCTATTTGCATTTAATTGGCTTCTGATAATTTTCAAGCCAAATATTTGCGAATATTATCTCAAAATATAGAGTGTGTTTATACTTAAATATTTTAATATGAAATCCTTGGTCTTGGATGGAAGATTTAGAGGGATACCTTATTCCAAAAGACTGTGTCCTTGTGGCTCAGAAGAAATCAAACAGTAATCCATATTTCTGTATTTTTTAAGCAAGATATCCAAAATGAATTAATTATCCTATTAATGACTTGGTATCCTGGAAAATCATCTGAACACTATGCCCACTTTCACCTTTCTGATACCGAAGAATTTGTTACAGAAATTATAGCCAAATACTTGCAGAAGGAGATGATATGATACAGAATATAAACTGACAAGACCATTGGTTTTGTTTTGTACTTATAGAGATAATTGACTGATGTTTTAGGATTGCAGGCCATGTGCGTCCTCCTTTACCAGAGGTGGCATCCCTGCATACAGCAGCTGCTGAGGAGTTTCAGCTGCACATTCAGGAAAGAAAAACCAAGTCATGGTGGCTGCTTCTTCCCACTTATGTGTGCTGGTCACACATTTGCTCATTTCTGTTAAAGTAACTTCAGCAGCCATGTGTTTCTATGTCATCTGAAGCACCCTGCAACCCATGGCTTGTTCTAGGCTTCCAGGGAGGTTTGGAAGCCATTCTCACTGTTCACTCTTGCCAGTTTCAGATGACATAGCAACCCAGGAACCTACATGCAGTGAAAATGATTATGGAAATCATATGAGTTACAGGTGGCACATGCAGATGTGTGAAAGCCACTGCAGAATATTTTCCTTCTCTGATGGTGCAAAACTGACTAATCTAAATATTATGCAACAGGGCTCATTGTGCAGGGCACCTATGTACTTAAAATTTCACAGGACCTGGAATGACAGAACTCCTGATAACTCCAAGTCCATGAAGAGAAGCCCTGCTCAGATAAGAGCTATTTCTAGACAGAGGGTACCTAGCACTAACAAAAAGAAGGCACGGAGCAACTATTCCATATTTTTTCTGTGGTAAAGACAGAACTAGTAACAGAAAAACATGGGGGGCTTATGGATGGAAGATTATGCTTGGATTCCCATAAAATCCAGTGACTGATGCGAGGCAATGGCATAATAAAAGCCTTATCTTGAAGCAACCCAGCTCAGTGGGCGAACACCACATGTGGTACTCACACAACCGAAGCCAGTCCCAGCGCCTGTCCCACTTTTCTACCATCTCTCTCCTCTTCTCTGTCAGCTGCTCCAGCTTCTCTAGGATCTAAAATAAAAAGGGAGGAAAGGGATATTATATTTCTGCCACAAGTTTCATGAATTTGTGAGAACTTGCTCTATTTAATGATAATATTGTTTTTCTTTTCAAAGCAAACAAAAAAGAACTTCAGACAGCTAACATATTGCAATGTGCATAAGCTAGTATATGCATAGACTAGGTTACATTTCAGGTCAGTTTGCACAATACAACCGCCCATCCTGTGAATAAGCTAAGCATGGGCTATTCATTTCAAGAAACAATTCAGTTCTTTGGCAAACTAGCTGCAGTTGCTACTCATCTGGGGAAGCACAAGCAGGGGCTTGCAGGAGCTGCCTCCTGCACTTCTCTGGACAAGTGGGAATGTCTCCTTTGAGCTCCATAGTTGCACTCTCCCTCCCTCTCTCCCTTTTCCAGCACCCTATGGAGCACCAGGAAAGAAAAACTGAAATACACTGAGGATGAGGGGGCAAAGGAGCAGAGGTGAAATTTCGATGGCTGACACCGCTCAGCAGAGAACCAGACACTGCCATTTTAATGTTCCCGTATTTCCCCCAAAGTAGCTTTGCTACATCTGGGGCACTAACAGAATGAAATCCTGCTCCTTTAGGCACTAAGGAAAAAAAAATAATAAAGGGGCTAGCAACAGCATCGTTGGGCCCTGCTGGAGTCCTGGCATCTGCCAACAACACCTAGTGCTGACACTAGGCCAAAGGTCACACCACAGGGAGGTGCATCCCCCCCACCCCCCATCTATGGATGGAAGCAGATCCTGTCTTCCAAGCAGAAAAGTGAAATGAACCACTGTTTGGACAATGCCACAGTGAGAGAGGAGGTGAACAGACACAACATTCCACCCAGGCTCAAGGCCAGGGGAGGATCACCTCACTCCCAGCAAACCATGTCCACTGCCCAAATCTCTGGGAAACTAGAGAGGGGAGTAGGCATTTCAAGTCTAGTGTAGGCCCTCTCACACACTTATGGTGGCTAAGTTTCTTCTGGAAAATCCTCACCTCTGTAGCAGCATGGTGTTTGCGCTGCAGCAAAGCTTTGCCAAGATCAATGCAGGTGGTGAAATTTTTGTCCCTGGTATCTATTTCAGATTTTATGCTCTGATGGTATTTCATCAGAAGCTCCACAGAGGAAACATCCCTGAAATGTGGAAGATAGTTGAGAAATCAGGAGCAGAACATTCCTAAAACTGAACAATTCTCAACAAGGTATCATTCAAGGTTAGAAAGTTCAGGACTGCTTTTTATGTTATGTTTTATGCTACAGAATAACTCCCAAAACTTATTCTGAATGGTATGCAAATATTTTGTCTGACCAAATCAATAAATATAACAAATTACCAGCTTCCAGCTGGACTGTAGCACAAAAATAGCACTTTGCAGGGGTTCTGAAAATATCACAATATAAGCAGCTATTAAGGATTCCATCACCAAAGCCAAAAAGGCATTCTTCTGGGTCTAGGTGGGAAAAGAAACAAGACAAGAGAAGTCTATTCTATTCCACCTCATTACCTAGGTTTCTCCTGGGTTTCAATCTGCCGGATCACACTCTCCATCCAAGAGATGAGGTCCCGGACCATACTGAAGAAACGGAACTTCTCTGCTGTATCAACCAGTTGAGCCCGCCGCCCCTCACAAGCACTGAGGAGAGCCTTCCAGGCTTTCACCACCTCCTGCTCTTGCTTCTGGATAGTGACTGCCTTTTCCCCAGCATAAGCTGCCTGCAGACGTGCTGCCACCTCCTGGAAATTTTGGACCTGCCGCAAAAATCCAGAGAAGAGAGGATTTTATACTGACCGGGTTTGCAGTGGCTTAGCATGTCACCCAATCTGATGCACCTGCCTCACAGGGTAGCTTCTTTCTGGTTATGAAGATACCCCAACAAGCCATGGCTTGTTGCAGGGTATTCATAAGCCACCCCTGATCTTGCTGTGTCATCCAAATCGAGGTATCACAACAAGCCCCAGTGAACCCCAAAGCCTAGGGCACTGCTTTCCAAGAGCAGCAGAAAGTCTTGCCACTCTGACCAAGAGGCTCTGATGACAGATGGACGAAGTGCCCAAGCAACATTTTGGACAACTCTCATCAGCATCCCTGCTGCCATACGCTGCTGAGTCTGCTACATGGAAGTGCTGGCAGTGGTGTACACCAGGGCTGTCTCTCCAAGCCCTGCTCAAGGCTACTGAGGAGGCAGTGCAATGTGATGGTATGTTTTGCTGAGCCTCGCCCAGAGCAAGACAGCAGAACATGCCCCTTTGCCTAAAGCAACGATCACCCCGCAATCACGGCGGCAGGCTGGAGGCAAAATGTGTCCCTGCTGTTCACCACTGTGGCCACCGAGCAGACGTCATGGTGAGCAACAAAGCGGGACAAGCTGCATTCTGGCCAGCCTCCTCTCAGGGAAGTGGAGCAGAACTTGACTTGTCCCCACCAGCTACCACTACTGCTCCCAGTGGAGAGGGGCTGCTGAGCAGCTTCTCTCTGCTGCTATCAATAGCAGGGACCTCTAAGAGCTGTTCCCAAGCAGCACTTTGGGGCAACCGTCATCCCTGCTTCTTTGGTGCTCCTTGGGATGCCAGCAGCAGGACTAAGGGCAGGGGGAGTAGGGAGGAGGTAACTCAGGACTCCTGGTGTGCCTGGTCATTTATCAGTCACAGTAGAGGGTACAGGCTATATTTAAACTCATTGAGGCCTTGGAAACCTGAGTTCATATATCCTGCATATATGCAACCTTTTCTTATATGCAGTTTCCTAATGTTACAATGAGGATAGGAATGGCCAGTTTCACAAGTACAGAAAAGGTCCATAATCTCTACATCACCATAATCAGGCAGGACATTTAAGAAGAATCATCTCTTTTGGCCTTCACTTGAAAGACATTTGGCAAAAACTGACTTCCTATTTTCAAAGACTTTCCAAAGGAAATCAATCATCATCAACTCTGGAAAACACCACACTGACCATCCATTCTGTTCAATCTTCCCTTGACTAAAATTCCCACATGGTTGCAAAATAAACTAGGCCAAAATTTAAAAGGATGAAAGGTGATGGGTTAGTTTTCTTGAAAGGCTCACTTATGAATCCTTCCTACTGTCTATGCTAGGCACAGGCTTGCTCTTATTCTTCTGTGTGGTTCCCCATAAGCTTTCCAGCAAACAAGGGGTTACCTGCACTCCCAACGAGTGGATATCTCGCTCAAAAGCTGTGTGCATCCTGTGGAAAGACTCTGCTGTGCTCACATCCCGGCCCAGCTCCTCAGGCAGCTCCTTGTGCTTCTCCTCGATAAAACTTAGGATCTCGCCACCATCGTAGAAGAATTTGTACAAGTCATAGGAGGCAGCTAGCAGCTGCATCCTGGTATCAATCAACTCTAAGAGGTCAGCCCAGCTATCATTGAGACTGTCCTTCCACTCCGCAATTGTGGCAGCCTCTGGATGGCCGGCATCAATGAGCTGCTCGATTATGAAGTTGACGCTGTCCACACGTTCCTGCCCAATGTTTCCTGTTTCCCGGGCGAAATCACGGAATTTTTCCCTCAGCAGCTAATCAAGAAACAAACCAGTGAGAGCATTAGCTGAATAAACATAAGGATATTCCCCATCAGAATGGATACATCTTTCACATTCCAACACATGGAATAACTTCTGCCTGCCAGGCAACAAGCCATATCCTATGTACATAACAGAAAAATCATCCTCAACTTTTCCAGATTCTGAACCACTTTTAATTTCAAGCTGCAACATGGGACTCTTTTTCAAAATGCATTTGCTGACCCACCCATCTCTGCTTAGGGTTTCTATTACTGACTTATTTATTTATTTGTTTGTTTGTTTAAAATACTTTTATCCTATCTTATATCTGAGACAGATCTCCAGAAAGCTTACGAATGACAAAAGCCATAAATAAAACATAATCTTCAATATATAAAAATATGCAGTAAAAACCATTCAACCATTTAAATACTGGGTGAAGAAAAAGCTTTTGGCCTCACTAGACACAAAGGAAGATAGGGATCCTGTATTTTCAGTAGCAATGCAGAACAGAATCTTTTGCAGATTCAGCTTGTTATGCAGGAGTGAGAAAGTCACATGTACCAGTTTTCTATAAAACTATTACAAATAATGGAAATCTATCCTCATTGATTTATGCGCTCCCCCCCCCCGTCTATACAGAGAAATACAAATAAAATTCTGGTAGTGACACTACCGATATTACCTACTTGCAGGTACTAGCCTCATACTGAAGACTCAGGCTATACATACACCTTTGCTATAAGCTTCTAACAAAAACAAGAAAGAGTTTTAATACAGCATTTGCTTCTGCATGTTGGTAGACTGCAGTCCACAAAAGCAAATACAAAATCTAAACTATAATACATCTTGTAGCCTTTTAAGATGTCACCAGATTCTTTCCTTCTATACCTGCTGAACATGGAGACTGCTTAAATAACTAAAATGAAACTTAAATATATAGTTTTCCCATGCCAAATGGTATTCCAATACAGCCTGTCACCTGAAAGCAATTTTCTCTCACACCACTGCAGATCCCTGTACAGTGAAACCACACCACTCCCAATATATGGTCCTCGTTCTCATGGTACTATAGGCCCTGAACTGGAACCACATCTCAAAATAAATGATGAGGAAACACAGCAATGGTGGGCTGGCCAATGGTGCTTGCTCACAGTAACATGGTCGAGGTCTTGCCCCATCTCTGGGGATGATGCCACAACATCTCGTTCTGCAATCCACTGCTCCAGATCATCGACTTCTCGCTTCAGCTTGAAGAGGTGGCACATGTGCTCCAGCTTACGTCTGCGTTCCTCAGCCAAGTCTTTCAGGACTGCATATTGCTTATCTACTTGCCCCTGCAACCGGATGATCTCCTCCCTGAAAAACAGCAAAAAGGCAGGGAAGGACAACACAGTATAGTAGATCTGAAAAAGGCTGGAATTCTGAAGACCTTTGCTTGGTTTTGTCAAGTGGCCTGCTATTTCTTCATTTACTGGATTTATCTTCTTTCTTATAACAAACTCAAAGCGGCTTACATCATTCTCTTGCTGCTGCTTTCAATCTTAACCCCACAACAAGGCGGGTTGGGCCAACAGTTTGTGACTGGCCCAAAGTCAGCCAGTTGGCTCCACGGCCAAGCAGGGACTACAACCCAGTCCCAGTCTCACATTTTTAACCACTACAGCTCACTGGCTGCTATGTAGCTTTGGATCAGAGCTTGGTAGAACATCTAGCCTTTTCAGGCCATTATCTCACAGAGCTTGAGCTGTATTATTCAAGCATACTCACCCTTCTGGGTGGCCAGCTGACAGCAACTTCTGAGCCCGACCAGCTAGCTGCTTGATGTTTTTTCCATAGTCTTCTATGGACCGCTGCTGACGCAGGTGTCTTTTCAGCATCACAATACCACTCTCTTCATCCTGGGAAAACAAACCCCATTCAGTCATTGATGGACAACAGAATGGAGCCAACCCTAGGACAGGAAGTATGGAGGACAAGAGAGTCTAAGGGTGCTTCCAGATCAGCAGTGTCTAGTATTGCCCATCAAAGACGTTGTCTTTCCCTCATTTCTTTGGTAAAAGAGATAAAAGAAGTGGTGTGAAAGCACAGAAGGACTCTCAATGAAAGATGAAATCATCTATACATTCCCCCTTCCCTTTTAACTGATCAGTTTTGCAACTGCAACTGGAAGCAGTTTGACATGACATTTCTGTGTCTATCAGGGGGAAAGCCCTATTTAACTCAGTGGACAGGCTTCAAAATGTGCACTTATTCTCCCCAAAGTGGGATCTTGGTATGGCCCTCCCCATGCTTCCCTCCCCTCAGACAAGGGGTTCAATCCAGATTTAGTCATATGTACAGCAGACACATGAAATTTAGCTTTTTCATTATTTTTTAAATGAAATTTAGCTTTTTCATTATTTTTACTGTGAATCTTAATAAACAAAAACAAATAAAAACAACCCCCACAAAAATAAAAAATAAAAAAATAAAATATTAGTTTCCTTACATAAGGTTTTAATACATGCATCACCAAAATACGTATTTAAAATATCTACGTGTACATATTACATATTGTAAGATCATCTATTCCTGGGAATTTATATACAGACTTCAGTGAAAGAAGTCCAACTATCTATACATTCATTTGAAGAGTATACCTAAAGACAACCCATTCAAAAACTGAAAGTGTTATTAAGTCCTCAATCCACTTATCGAAGGTGGCCTTATGTCTTTTCAGTGCTCTAATATTAGTATTTAGCTGTCAAAAGGGTGTGATTACACTGATGGATGGGATTTAACTTAACTTCTGTTAATTTCACTGGGTCTGTTCTCAATATCACTAAATTAGGATTCAGCCCAAGGAACATTTTAAGCAGAGCAGAGGTAGAAAGGAGTCTCACACCAGAGTAGAACAGGTACTGCTGAATGTGGTGCACAGTCTCCATTCTGAAGGAAAGCAGAACTGTCTGTGCCACTTATACATTACTGGGTTTTATTCCCTTTTGCCAATCTTTGTTGAAATGCCACCTCTGCTTTACTCTCTCTCTGCAGGCACCTGAACATTACATACTGGAATTTATTTTTTCCCCAATATTATTTTCTGAGTGTATGTGAAAGAAACACATGCACACACAGAGTTTCTGCTTTTCTTGTCACTGTTTAGAGCTGGAAGAAGCTCTTTATAAGCTATGATATGACACAAGTATGCATGTGTACACAAATGCTATTATACTGGACCCTGCTCATGAATCTCTCGGCACAATTGAGATGTATCCTTCCTGGAAAGTGTAGAAACGCACCACCACCTTCAACTTATTATAAGGCAATGTTGTGCACTGGGCTCTAACTATCCCTGGGCATGAACAGGGCTCTTAGCCCTGGGCTCTAACTATCCCTGGGCATGAACAGGGCTCTTAGCCAACATTAGTATAGCATCCAGATGCTAATATCCTTTAGAAACAGCCCTTCTGCAGTGTCAAGAATGGTACATGTTGCCTCGTTAACAAGCCGAGTGCTCTCACCTTTGGCTTCTCATCTGTTACCATGTAGAGTTCCTGCTCACTTATCCAGGCCTCTACTTCCCCAGCATCCAAGTAATATCGCTGAGCCTCACTTGCTTCTTCCAGGCGCTGCAACCTCTTTGATGTTTCTTTCTGTAAAGTGTTCCAGGAATCCCGCAGCTCCTTGAGGTGCTCTTCAGTATCTCTGAAGTCCCCATCCCTGTCTGCTCCAGCTAGCATGTCCTCTCCTCTGGAAAGCACATCCTCAATGCGAGGGGCATGGCCAGCAATTTCTTTCTGAAGTGTCTGCAAGGAGCAGAGGCAACTTTAAGAAAAACATCTGAATGCAGTGGTCCCTTTTCCGAGATGCATCAATGGCAGTATTAATAAAGACATCCAATGAGTTGGCAAGATTCCAAGCCTTGCTTGCAGATTGTTCACATAATAGCTTTAGCTAATAGCTGTTTTACAGCCACACTGAGGAGCTCACACAGGGACAAAAGCCTCCTTCAACAGATGGCATGAAGTGGATTTAGATTATAGATATTTATAACACATGGGCTGAAAGAAATATGCTAGAATAAACCAAGTTAATAAACTAAAATGGTATTTTTATTGACCCAGAAGTTGCAAACTTGCATATTCTTACACTAGCCAATGGAAGACATGACCCGGCCTTTTTTCTTTAAATGCCGCTCATTTTTCTAGAATCAGCATCCCAGCTACTTCCCTGAATGATCACTTGTTACTGACAAGATACACAAATGAAACTACACAATTTACATCAATAATTGAGAAGTACCATGTCATTTGGTAACAGCTACCCTAAAGACATAACTGAACTTTTGAAGACTTGCAGCCACAAGTCCGGTCAATCTATGTGTCTCCCTATTCTGTCCAAATATGAAATTAAAGTAAACAAAAATATACACATAGAAATGGTAGGCAGACTCACCTGGTTTTTTTTCATAAGTAGCTGTACTGACAGGAGGTTTGTGCCATGGTCAGTGGACTGAGCAAGGGGAAGACGTTCTTGTACCCAAAGCTAGAATACAAAAGAATGACTAATGTTCAGGTAAGGAAAGGTCAGACGTCTGTGCAACTGGAGGAAAAGGGAGGTTCTTAATCTAATGATGATTAAACCAATTTACATACTGCTTATCATATCTAAAGATTTCTCTGTTTACAGAACCAAGATTAAATACATTGTAATAACTACAAAACCTGCCAGTTAAAATGTTTAAGATATTTAAAAGCAAAGCACAATAATAAATAAACAAAGTACCTGGCAGCACAATCATTCAGGGACAGCTTAGGTGAAGAGATGGATCTTTAAGAGGTGTCACTCAAATAAAGTGGGGAGAACATTCCATAAGGTGAGTGCCATCACACAGAAATCCTGCTTCTGAGATGATTCGAGATGGCAATTTGCAGGTTATAGTCCAACCAGAAAGGCCTCTTCCATGGGTTTTAACAATTACATAAATTTGCACTGGGAGAGGTAACTGGCCAGTTAATCTGGTCCTGAATTATTCAGGGCTTTATATACCAACCACAAGACCTTGAACTTGGCTTGGTAGCTGATAGGCAGCCAATGCAGATGCTTCAGCACTGGCATAATATGGGCTAAGCAACCAGGTTGCTTCACTCAGTAACCTGGCCACCACATTCTGCACCAGCTGCAGCTTCCATACCAAGCACAAGGATATGTACCTTCTGAAAGCGCATTATAGCGTAAGACATTACCAAAGATTAAACTACAGTGACTAAGCTGACCAGATATAACACAGACTGAAGCATCTTATTCACATTCCTAATGGAGACCTGTTTTGCTGAAACAGAGTTCGTTGTACTTTAAATGTGAGTAAAAGGAATATGTCAAACTAGGAAGCATTCTAGTGTTTGCTAATGGCTAATTGCATAGCTCACCAGTTCATCTGCCAGATCCCGGTTCAATTGGTATCTAGCCTTAGCTGTTTCCAGTTCCTTCCTCTTCTTACTTAATGGTTCCAAGAGTTCCTGGAACCTCCTCTCAATGATCTTGTGCTTGCCATTCAATTCGTGCATGTCTCCTCTGGTTGGAGGAGTGTGAGAAAGCAAGTCTTCCATCTCTTTTTTCCGCACACTTACTTGTTCTTCCAGTCGCTGAAATGAGAGAATTTTGTTCACTCAGCCATCTTACCAACTTTTACATTTTTAAGCCCACTGCATCCCTTAGGCTCAGGGTTTGGTCACATATTTACGAGGCATCCAGCCAGTCTCTCCTTTCTCAATGCAGTGGCCTTTTCCCCCAACTTGCAGGCAGAAGAAATTGACAGAATCTTCATGTTATAAGCCACAGTTATTCTTGATTATGGATGGGGAAAGTACCTGCGGAGGTTCTTCTGGCAAAATGGGAAATGGGTTTAAGCATCATAAAAAGTTGAGGAACCCCTGTTCTAATAGCAAAGGTGCCTACACGGGAGTCAAGATGGAGAGGAATTGTTAGAGTTTACCAATTAATCTAGCCAAATCATTCAACTTAAGAAGAGTACTAATGATGGATACAAAACTGCTTATTTTTCTCCTTACAGCAGGGGTCTCAAACTTTTTATGATGCTTAAACCCATTTCCCCCAACTTGCAGGCAGAAGAAATTGACAGAATCTTCATGTTATAAGCCACAGTTATTCTTGATTATGGATGGGGAAAGTACCTGCGGAGGTTCTTCTGGCAAAATGGGAAATGGGTTTAAGCATCATAAAAAGTTGAGGAACCCCTGTTCTAATAGCAAAGGTGCCTACACGGGAGTCAAGATGGAGAGGAATTGTTAGAGTTTACCAATTAATCTAGCCAAATCATTCAACTTAAGAAGAGTACTAATGATGGATACAAAACTGCTTATTTTTCTCCTTACAGCAGGGGTCTCAAACTCGCGGCCCGCGGGCCAATTGCCGGGATGGGCGGGGCACAGGGGAGGGGCCCTGTGGCCTTCAAAGTGCCGGCGGTACCCGGGCCGGCCACGGGATGAGCGGCCCACCCCCACCGCGGGGGTGGAATACTTGATGCGGCCCAGTCTCACCCAGACTCTACTTCCAGCGGCCCCCAGGTAAGTTGAGTTTGAGACTCCTGCCTTACAGAGAGCCCAGATAAGTTACATAATTATATTTGCAATGCTATTAAAATGAACATTCTAATCCAGTGGTCCCCAAACTTTTTCAGGCTGCCTCCCCCTTTCCTCCTGGGTGACAACCCTAGTGCCGCCACGCTTCTTTTTTTGTATTAGGTCTGCTGCTCTACTGCAAATTTAAAACAACTAATCACAGCTCCCCTGGATCTTTTCACCACCCCTGTGGGGTGGCAGCGTCCACTTTGGGAAACATTGTTCTAAACGTTCTGAAGGCCTTCTGAAAGAGATGTCTCCATTTTAATTCATCACATGAACCCTTCTGCTATCAAAGAGATGGAAACTTGTTACTCCATCATGCAGTGCTGTCTGTATGCAGGGTAATGATCTATTCAGCTCTCCTTCCTTCTGCACTCTCCATGCTGACTCATATACAGTTGTGGCGCTACGGATGATCCAGGCAGCAAATATTTTCTCCAACTTTATTTCTTAGCTGCTCCTCACTTGCCAGGTCTCTTACAACCTCTGTAGAGGAACAGATGTCCCATTTTGAGGATCCCTGCTGATCTGATCTCCTTGCTGACATTCATGGGATGCTTTTTTAGAATGCTTTTTTTCCCCAACATGGAAAGGGTATGGGAACTGGACAGCTGTGTATGCAAACTTTCTTATGGGGGATGCAGAACCATAATAAGGACAAACACGAATCTAGAAATCGAAGGCAGTTTGGGGGAAAGTTATAAATGATCAATCCTGAGATCCTCTGCTCATTTCACTGTTCATGTGGCTATTTTCTAATGAAAAGGATACAATAGGAAAAGAATCTAAGACACAGGACACCGTGGTTCACACAATATAGTCAGCTCATCCTTGGTTATTTAACCCTCCATAAGTTGTCACACGTGCAGATGCAAGCACCCTTGCAATGTGTAACCCCCAATTCATGCTGCTAACTTGATACAGTAGACTCCCAACTATCCGGCCTAATGTGGTGGAAGGGCAGGCCGGATAGGCTGGAGTTCTATAAATGCTCACTTCCTACCCCACCCATACCATTAAAAACACCCTTTTTATACCAAAACCCGCTCTTATTCATATTTTCCGACCTCTTAGTACAGGCCACTACTTTATAAATGTTTGTCATGTACTGTACTGTACGTTTTAAAAAATTTATTACAGAAAAAGGAAGTCCAAGGATAAAAATATGGTACACATTTAAGATAAATTTTATAATGTCTAACTTAATTACAGGAAACATAAAATCATGTACACTGTACAGTATGAATACATACACTTTTAAAATAACAAAACATTAACGTAAAACATAGGCTTAATTCTTACAAAAGCTATTTAAACTTATTTTACTGTTCATTGATAGCTATTTTTTAACTAGACTGGATAGTCGCAAGCTGGATAGTCGAGAGTCTACTGTAGTCATAGATTATTTGAACACTCATTGAACAGCTGTTGCAAATTGTGTGTAAAGCAAGAGTTGTTTAACCCACAATGACCAGGCTGGGATGACACTGCACAACCCCCAATCTGCCCAACCAAGGATTGCATATTTGAATTGGTGGAGGCAGGCACTGTGGCTAATCATGCTGAACCTTATCCACTAACTGTGTCATGAAAAGTGGGTCGATATGATTTCTCAGCAAAGCTTGTACTGATAGGTAGTTTTACAATTAGTGTTTAAAATTTTTATTTTTAAGGGTGAGTGATATGAAGGTTCCTGCAACTAAGTGATATAGTCAAATAGTCACTAAATGTTTAAAATAAATATGCTAATGGCAAATGCCAGCTATTTCAAGTGAATTTCCTGCCTAGAACAGCAGCTGATTGTGGCCTGAAAAAGCCTGTCCATATGCTGCTGGAAGTAGAAGTGGAAGAGAAATGATAATTTAAGGTTTGCTACTTACTTTCAGGTTTTTTAGTCGGATGTTGATACTGGTGCGATCTTTCCCCTGGACATCAGATTTCAACTGCTCCTCTATTTCACTGATCCATGCTTCAAGATCAGCATAGCTCTGTGCATAAAGGTCAGAGCGATTGGCATCAAACAGATGCTGAGCCTTCTCCTTAGTGGTTTCCTGCAGCTTGTCCCAAAGTTGGTGCAGCTCTACAAGCCTCTGGTGAACAACATCTTTATACTGAGGCTTCTGCTCTGCCAGCTGCTGTCCTTCCTGGAAAAAAAGAGGAGACAGAGAAGACACGCAGTCAAATCCATAGAAAAGCTAAAAAGAAAGACTATAGAGTGAAAAATGCAGGATTGGCAGAACAGTGCTCAAACCAACACTTTCCATGGCAGCTCTGTATTTAAAAATGAAACAAAGTAAAAGAAAAACAAGGAGAGTATTATTACAATACATCTTCAGCATAACATCCAGGGTGCTTCCAGTCAAGGTTTCTATCATGCCGTCACCTTGCCTCACTCAAGCCTCACTACAGAGAGGACCAGATATTGACATCATCATCCGATTGTAACCTTCTCATATCTGCCCACTGCTTAATTTTGTCTTCTTACCACAAAAATTATGAAGAAAAAAAAAGAATAACAGCACAATGCATTTTAATTATCAGCATGAAAGGCTGCTGCTCCAGAAGCATCCCTCACTAGGCCCAAGGACACAAAGGCTGAGAGCATCTGACGGCCATTACTCACCTTCCTTTTTAATCAGAGGCTTTTCACACTTTATCTTTGCCTTAAATGTGCAATTCAGTGTACACTTTGCAAATGAACATATCAACCAGATACACTTGGGAGGGAACTGGGCTCTAGCTACAGCTCTCCAACAGTCAGAGACAACCAGGTAAAGTAGCCTATCTTCAGAATTACAGGCCTTCACTTGAAATTAAATATGTGTTCTGCATTTCTTATGTTACATTTCTGTATTTCTATGATACAGGTGCAATTCTTAAAAGCAGTGAAGTGTGAGGAAAGCAGCTCTGACTGTGTGCACTTTCATCTATGGTTACGCTAAGCTACAGAACCAAGTGCATTGCTGCAGGATTGCATGCGCTTCCAAAGGGTTCAAAACCGTTCATTTCCCAAAATGTGGTATTTTCAAGGGGCAGTGATATGGTAACTGTTTTCAACCCTTTCTCAAAAATCTCAGATCCAAAACTGCAGGGGCCACAAAGACAACAAGGCGGAAAAAGAGAGAAGATACCATGCTAATTTAAATCTTAGAAGAATCCACTTACTTCATCTACCTTCTCTAACCACCCTTGGTTAGAAGCGAGCTCTGCCATAAAAGCCTGGTGCTTTAGCCATTTGCTATGCAAATTCCGTGCTTTGTCATAGGATGTGCCTTGAGCAGTGAGCATCTTCTCTTCAATCCAGGCAGTAAGCTGCAAACAAACTGGCAGTGAATTTCTCAGTAGTGAAGGTGGATTACAGGTGTTCCCAGAGCTTCCACAACATTTTGCCCGTACTTTGGGCTAAATGATGTATACAGGTGAAGTGATTCGTCAAACTCTCAATAATTTTGCTGGTTCTCTAGATCTTTCCATTTCATGTTTTCACTTTTTCTAGGATGTTCTCAAAATCTCTGGCTATGCCCTATAGTGCCCAAGTGAAAATGCAGGTAGTTGGAATACGCATTTGCCCTGAAAGGAGGTGACTAAAAAAACCTCACCCAAAAAACAGTTATGAAAAAAAACCCTGAAACCAAAGGGTATTTATTCCACCTCTTTTCTCTCGCCTTACAAAAAGATGGTGGCATATTATTGTTTAATTAATTAACTGAGCTCATGATCAAATCAATGAATAGTTCACTATCAAGTGCTATATGGGACCTGTGAGGTACAGCAATAATAGGAATATTTACTGCAAGTATAGCCTAAAATTCTAACTGTTGGGAGTTAGGTTTCCTTTTCTCTTTCAAACATCAGTCAGATCTTTGGCAAAAACTCTTTATTTCCAGTGTATATCAGCAAGCTATAGTCAGCAAAAAAAAAAAAAAAGTCTTTGAGCATGAGCAGAATTCTTTATCGAACCCAAATTAGAAACTATTTCTAAGAACCCTCCTTTTGAGTAACCCTGTACTCTGCCCCTCTGAGAGTGCCCCTCTGGAGATGGGCAAGCCTCCTAGCTCTACTCAGGTGCTCTAGCTGGCTAGCCCTCCTCTCCCAATGCTGCATCATGGGGTCAAGTACTGAACCAGGCTTCTCTGGCTCCTCTCCCATGTCCCCTCTAGGCGCTTCCAGATCCTGACAGTTCCCAGCATCTGCCTGAACACCTGGAGACCTAGTAGCCTCGAGATAAGTTGTTCTTCCCCTGCCATCTCTATGCCTGCAGGCCTCCCTTCCCTGGTTTCACCATCCAAAGAGTTAATGTCACCCTGGCCCTGAAAGGTGAGCCCAGAACAACTGCCTCTTTCATTCCCAACAATAACCATTATCAGAAAAGGCAGAATAAATGCAGACACACCCCAAATTGGTAGCAGTTCAGAACTCTTACCTCTTGACAATTCCGCAGGAAACAGCGCAAGTCATGATTATCCTTCAGCAACACAAATGCCTCCTGAGATTTTTTGACATTTGTTCTGTACCTAGAAATTATAAATAATAATGATGTTATTGTTAAATGATATTATTACTCCAGGGACTTAACTAGCGACATAACACATTGTTTCCAATCCAGAGACCTGTGTTATATATTGGTGCTTGAACACAGATGCATACGTAGGTTTCATTTTCAAATCATTTTATATCTCAGGCACCAAAACAATGGATTAATGGTGCTCAAGCGCTGCAGGTGGTCAAAAACTGAATGCTGTCATGCACTGAATAAGCAGTGCCAAGCAAAATGGCACATCACCCTACGGTACAGGGGTGGGTGAGCAGACTGGATCGTCCATCCTTGCCCCATTTGCATTGTGCTCTTTTTCCACAATCGGTGCCTTTCAGTTTAAAACTGTATGACACACACGTTTTTTTCTAGTGCTATGATTTTAAGGCGGTATTAAAACTTTGCAATAGGGCACGTGAGTAGAGAGACTGCAGTTCAGAAAAGAGCCTCCAGGTCATTAATACTTCTAGTGCACAGTGTTCGGTGCTTAAATATTCTTTTCCCACTCATTCGCTTTCTCTTGTAAACACAGTCTCTGAGCCATCCCCATTGGAAATGTCCCACTGAAATTACCTTTCTTGAATCTGCTGAACTTTTTCCTTAATTTTATCAGAGTAAATATTTCCTTCCGCCACAAGCTTGTTCCCACTGCCCACCAACCCAGTAATTTTTTCCTCATTTGCTTCCATGGTCATGAGGAAATCTTCATATTTTCGGATAGCAGCTTCTGATGCTTCCAAGGTGTCTGGGGGCTCGATGTGAGCCAGAGTATATTCCTAAAGTAGATGTTGGGGAAGAAAACATATTAGCTAGCTGAAATATAGCAAAGGCTGTTAAAGAAAACTCTAACGTGATCACCATATGCTCTTCTGCAAGGCCTATGGCTTGTTCACAAACTGCAATAATCGTATGTGTGGCAGCTACAGAAAAAGCACCAAAAATGCCTATGTTTAGTATCCAGTCTCATTAAGCAGGTTGTGTACATCTGCTGCCAGGCATGGAATTTAGCTTTCAGCAGGCACCAGGATGCACCATTTATTCTGCATTTCTCAGTATTTGTTAAAAGTCAAGCACTGCACATGACGAGCACAGCATGGAATGGGCACCACCATGGCCAAACTTGTTCTGCAGTTACCACAAACCAGGTGGTATGCCTGTGAGACATCAAAGTGCCCACTAGTCAATATTTACAACACTCAAGTGCATGCATACACTCTGGAAAACTAAGTATGTATAAAAATTGTAAGAAAATGGATGTCGCTGCCATACCTGACTGTTAAGAATAATTTCTGCTTGCTTTGCATCTTTAAGAAATTCCTGGAAGCCAAGGCACTGGTTGAGGAATTTCTCCCGGCTTTCCCACATTTTACATAAAGCATTCCAGCCAGTATCCATGCCCTGGAGCCGCTGTTCCAGCTGTTGATACTCTAGGTCTGTCTGCCCTTGGGTCACTCTATTCCCTATCTCCTTGACTTGGCTGTAGTCATCCCTGTGCTGATCAATTTCTTCCTTAATGGCAGCATGCTGTTGCAGGAGGTGCTCAGCTTCTGTCAGGGAGTTGGGCACCTCTTCTGAAGCAACAGCTTTCTGCGCCTTGAAGAGCCATGCCTGGAAGTCATCCAAATCCTGCAAAAACTTGTGCAATTTGCTGGCCTCTCCAAGGGAAGTCTCCTGGCTCTGTAGGATGTTCTGAAGGTCAAGCCAAACTCCAGTGACAGCTGTCAATCGACTGAAGATGTCATCAGTCAGGTCAGGCTGTTCCTCAGCAAGCCGGTGTGCTTCCTGCTGCAGGGCTGCAAGCCGAGCTTGGATAGCAGCTAGGTCACGTTCAATGCCATATAACTTCCTCTGCATTGCAATCATGCCTGCCAGGTTTTTACCAAGGTCTTGTGTAGATTCAATGACTTTAGTTTTTTCTAGGATCCATTTCTTCGTCTCCTCACAATCCACACAGTAATTACGGAGACTAAGGGCAAAGTCCACAGCTCTCCGCCTCTGAGCTACCATCTCCTGAAAGACTTTCCACCTAGCAGTAGCAGAGCACAAGAATCATTCGAAGATGCAGTATGTAAAGAAATGTAAAGAATGTAAAGAAATGCATTTCTTTACATTCTTTTGCATGCATTTTCATAGACATAAAAATATATTGTCCCCAACAGACCTGCTAACAGACCTGCAGATGAAAGTATAAGTCAGAGAAAGATAGACCATCTGGATCTAATAGATCTTGATGTCAAATGGATTGAGTTTATGCTATGTACCAAGTGGCCTTCTTAATCTCTGTAATCGCCAAGGCCTACAAAAGATCCTGGCAGGCTCTAGGTTCTAAATATTGATCTGTAGATGCCCCAAACCTAGTTTTCCATTGATAAGACTGCTCAAGAGCTCTGATTAAGAATTATTCATGCAATATGAAAGGCAGCAACCTGAGCCTTCTCCTTGATGTCTCTTCCCAGTAGCTTGTGGGGTGATACTGTTACCACAAAACAGTTGAGCTGTAAGGAATAGGATTGTGCCTGAAGTCTCCAGTCAACACTGCCAGCCCTGGAAATTGTTTGCCTCTATAGACCAGTTATAGGTAAACTGTGACCCTCTCAACATGTTAGCACATAACTCCCTTTAGCTATAACCAGCCTAGCCAATGATAAGAGATGGCGGAAGCTTAGGCCAAAATATATGAAGGAGCATAACTTGCTTACTGCTTGTGCAAACTGTAGTTTCTTGGTTCATATGGCTCATTCTGTGAAAGACCCTTGATCAGTAGTGTAACTAACAATCACCAAATATAGGAATTGGCAAGCTAAAAACCAATTTAGTTCAAAATAACAATAAACTCAAGAGAAGCCATCTCTGGGTGGTTAATATGCTGGTTCTAAGCTGCAAGCAGTTCTGTTCCTAGCTTTGTTAATACACCCTTCAGGCAAGCTGTTTCATTTTAGAATCAGAAGACAGACACAGATATTATATTTTAATCTTCGATTCCCTGGGCCTATCTTCAGGACTAGTATACTGCCTTTGGCATGGGTCTATCTGTGAAACAGAAACTGGGCTTTCCATAACATAGCATACTTTCATCGTCCTTAGTTTCATACTATTTCACAACTCCTGTGCTGCTTTCTTTTTGCCAAGATTTGTTACATTATAGCACTTTAAAAAGAAGTAACAGTTGATACTTCAGCATAATGGAGTGCTTAGGACACCTTCCAAGACAGAGGCTCAGCTATACTATACTGATCTTGTATATTCTAATGTGGATGTGCATGTCACTCTGCATTCCAGTTATTTATCTATGGATAATAATCCTTTCTTATCAAACAGACACGGTTTACAGACCAATATATTAAAACTAAGTCATTCAACTATTTCTGTATTATGTGAACATAGGGAGACATCATAGTACCCAGGTACCTTCCAAGTTGAATGTTATTTTATTTTTCAGTGATGGTATTTGTTGTTTTAAAATATCAACCTGATTTAAAATAAATCAATTTAATAAAAACATGCAAGTGTATGACTGTATTGCTTGATATGTGAGCAGAAATCCTTTCTTATCAAACAGACACGGTTTACAGACCAATATATTAAAACTAAGTCATTCAACTATTTCTGTATTATGTGAACATAGGGAGACATCATAGTACCCAGGTACCTTCCAAGTTGAATGTTATTTTATTTTTCAGTGATGGTATTTGTTGTTTTAAAATATCAACCTGATTTAAAATAAATCAATTTAATAAAAACATGCAAGTGTATGACTGTATTGCTTGATATGTGAGCAGAAAGGAGTCTCCAGAAGCTTTAAACTCACAGTCTTCCCTTCACTTCTCTGTCTCCCACACAGCTAGGAGAAAGACTTGTGCAGCTTTTATATTTGCTTTACTGAAACTTGGCTTTTTGTGTCTGGACCAGGGTTTATGGCTTAATACAAAATATGGTCATTTTCAACATGCCAGTTTCATTATGACCATAATTATAATTAAACCATGATCCCTATTCTGAATTCCATGACACGCTAAACTTTCATAGAAAAGAAACTAAACATTGCTAAATTACTCCTCCTGACTGCAAAATTTTTTCTTGCTCACAGGAGCTCTTTCTTGCTCATGCATGTCATGTTAAGCCATGGTTCAGCACAAAGTGTGAATCCAGGCCTTAAAAATGAATTATGCACATAAAATTGCATTAGAAGCTGCTTCTCTCTGTAAGAAAACTAAGGGGCATAATATCTGGCTTCTGTGGGAAGCATTATAGATGAAACAGTATCATGCTGTTGAACTGCATGTTTCCTGCAGATGATGTAATAACCAAACATTAAAGATGCTGGATCCTGGAAATACCATCCTTTGTATCACCATGTTAAAGGCCTAGTATTCCTAGTTCAGATTTTTCCATCTATTTCTGAGTAGACAGTATGACTGCACTACTACTTTCAAGTGAATATGGAGAGTTGTAAGTCTTAGTGTCCATGCAGTTTGCCACCATGACTGGTTTGCATGATCAAACGAACCCTTACAGTGGCTTATTTAAATCATTGTGTGTGGCAGGTGTGATTTCCATAATCACTGGTTCTATACTCCACAATCATTGTTTCCTCCTCCAACAAGCCATGCCAACCAGGTTTGGATGGCAAAACAAGGAGGTGGTGATGGAAATCATACCTGATACTCACCATGGTTTAATAAGCAGTGGTGGCTTCTTTTGATCATATGAACCATGTCAGTAAAGTTCAGTTGCTGAAGCTTAGTGGCCCACAGTACAGCACAGAAATAATGCTTAGGAAACTTTGAGCATGCTGGAGATAGAGCAGGGGATAAACAACAAACAAATAACCAAGGAAGGAACTTACCTGGCATTGAGATGGTCTTGGCACTGCCTTACTTTGCCACTGCGTGGATGTCCACTTTCTATTAAGCCAAAGGCAGTCCTATTGACCCCTTGAATCTGAGAAGCCAGATTGTTGATTTCCTGCTCCAAAATATCAAACCTGTAATCAAGTATATTTTAATGAATTAATTCAACTTAAATATCACCATATCCTTAGGACTCACAGAATTGTGTAACTTCCTCTCACATAGAATCATGGCCAATTTCTTCTATCATATCTTGCTGGCTAACAAAATCCTACCTGAATTTTGAAATCTCATGTCACATTTGGGTTTTGGTGAGTCTCACAGGGGAAGGAATTCTAGAGGCAAGAGAATACTTCTCTTCATGCTCTTATAGTCCTGATCTAGTGCATATGTGGTAATCTAGGGAGGATGCTTCTAGCTAGCAGGGGTCCAGTGCTGCTTAGGGCTAAGCTATGCACCTTGATCCTTTAAATTCATGTGCACTTCACTGCTTGATTTTGGGTTCATTTCAATTTCTACAATACAACTTCTACCATGGAAGGTATTTTTCTGGAATAACTAATGTGAAACCTCATGTAGAAGGACATCATATATTGTACAAAGCTGTCCAATTAGTCTAAAAGATACTACAGGACTCTGTTGACCCAGTTATCCATGTGGCACATCTTTAATGTCCCTTGACGAGTTTAATTAGAACTGTTTCAGACATTGATCAGTTACTGTCCCAGAAACAATCCCACTGATTTACCTGTGCTGCACAACATCCAGATCTTCAAGAGTATCAGGAATCTCCATTTGCTCCAACCACTTTTCTTTTTCACTCATCCAAAGTTCACAAGCATCAGTCTCACTAAAAACTGTGTAGAGATCAAGGGCATCCTGTAGCTTCTGCCTGCGCAGATCTGCTAGGGATACAACCTCATTGAACATTGCCTGGATGGTCTTCCGCCTGTTCTCACATCCTGGGTCGTCCTGGAACTCAGGAGGAAAGCTCTGTGTTTGCTTGATCAGATTGTCCATGACTCTCTTGTTGTTGGCCACTTCATCTAAGAGATCCCTGTGCTTTTTAACCAGGGCTAGAGTGGAATATTCATCATGCCCCACATCATCACTTGATGCTAGGCGGTTGGCATCCTGCAGCCAAGCCATCAAGTCATCTGCATCAACCTGAAACTGGAAAAAACTCTCAGTATCATGCAAGGTTTTCTTGCGGAAAGCTGCCAATTCCTGCAGCTGCGCCCAGAGGGCTTTCACATCCTCAATCCTACTGCGGATTTTGGGTGCTTCAAAATGCTTCTGAGCAATCAGAGCTTCTCCCTCTTTGATGGTTTGCTGCAGGTGGGTTCCCAGGCCACGTAACTCATCCTCAAAAGCCTTGTGCTTTCTCTGCAGAATGAGAATGCTGGTCAGATCTTTTCCATAATCCAGAGCAGAATAGATCTGCTCTTTCTCCTTGATCCAGCTTTCAGCTTCATCCAATTCCCAAAAGAACTTCCAAAGACGCTTAGACTGCTCCAGGCAAGCTTTTCTCTTTGCAGCTAAAGCCACTAGCGCTTGATGGCACTCCTCTAAATGGTTCACTCGTTCTCGTATCATCTTTGGGTCACAAGGCCGATAGCCTGTACAAGCATTCATGGACAGAAAGCTACAGTCATATGTTACAAACTATGTTTACCTTTAAATCAGAAAGAATATGGCACAACATCTTCCAGGGCATTTCCAGTTCATTCTAAAATTCTAGGTGAAATCCAGATAGTATTTTCATAATGGCCAGAGTCAGAAATCTGGCACTAACCATACTTCCATTTCCCCCCTTTTTTGTTTGTTTCTTGCCTGCATATGTTCCTACAGTGAAGAGCCTGTCAAGAAACCCCTTTTAAAAGGAACCAGAGTTTTGACATCTAGCTGTTAAACCTCCATGCTCCAGTAAAGGGGATGAGCTGCACTCTTCCATCTTTCCAAGCACCTAGAATCTTGGGAACAGATGAAAAAGTTGGGGGTATTGGATCCCATCACGGGAACAAAAAACCCACTGAGAATCCTAGGTCCAAAGAAAGATAAAATTACCTTTTTTTCATGAGCAAAAGTCACTCATGCCTTTGCTTTAGACAGAGAGCTCACCTTATAGTAGCATTGTGCAAACCCTCCTCCTACTCCAGAAGTTATATGGGGCAATATTTATGGTTGGTACCTGTTGCATTTTGACAAAAAGTACCTCCCAGGATAGTATTCCAGCAAGGTTTTCTATTTTTGCACTGGCTGAAATGCACACACCTGCACTTTCAGAATCGTGCAATGCTGGCTACATTAACACACACACACACACGCACCTAATTAACATTTCAGAGGCAAAGAAACCTCTATACGCCAATATAATTTCCTGACAAAGGTCATTTTACCCTTTGTAAATTCCACTAAAAAATAGATCGACAACTGCCAAAGTTAACTACTTTGGGAACAAGTGCATAAAAACACAATGGGACACAAAACCCCTCCAAAACATCAACCTAAAAGGGCATCTCCTTTCATGAGATCACTCACACCTTTGGTTACATTTGACAGCTTACCTTTGCACAGCTGTTCAGTAAAAGAAAAAATAAGCTTATTTACAACCTCTGTGAAGTAATGCCCAGAGTGGGTACCTGCTGGACTTGGCCAGCAAGCATCCACCAGTGCATTGACTTTCTGAGTCTCTCATTACTGGGAACACATGTAGTTGGACCAGTGTGAATTAAAAGTTAAAAAACAATTAATTTTCACAAATATTTTACTTCCAACAATTATTTGTGAAAATTAATGGGAATATTTTTTAAAAGGTGGGAAACCATGGGCAGCCCCTCCAAGATGTCACTTGGGGACATTTTGGGGGGACTATTCCTAGCTGTCAAAAGGAGGACTGCAAAAAAAATCTTCATGGCCAGCTTTTGTAACTTTCATAAAAAAACAATTTAAGGGGGGAAGGCTGTGGTTATCCTGAAAAAGCTCATAAATGCAGCAAGCAACAGGGAGACAACTCTGTCTTCCTGTAGTGATTCCTAGGATAACCACAGAAGGGCTGATGCAAAAGGAGGAGACAAACAAGTACCTCAGGCTTGCTATGGGTTTTTCACATGACAACCAACCCATCATCATTTGCTGGATTAGTGTGATGTGTAAATGTGTCTTATCGTTCACTCATGGCAGTCAGGCAAAGATGGGAAATTTCTTCTGGATAAGCACCTACCATCTCCTTTGGCAAATTTAAGAGCAGCTGCATTGAATTCATGGACTTTCTTAGCCTGGATAGCCATGTCAGCCTCCATGAGCTTATGCTTCTGAAGGAGGTCATCCACTTCCAACAGGTGCTTTCCAAGTTCAGGAGATGACATTTTTACCTAGAAAATCAAAAAGGAGAATGGAACCATCATGTTTTTTGTTTTTGTTTTTTTTTAAAGAAAAGACAAGCAGCTTCAGAATGGATCAATTTTGAGCAAAGTAGCAACAACAGAGGTGATTAATCCCTTTCCCACCTGCCATTGCTTCAGGTTAATAACTCCTATGTTAGTGGGGCTCCTTATCCCTTTCAGCTTTTACTCTGAGCTTAAAGGAAGCATCCATAGTGCTGGATACTACTCCCAAAATAGGTTCACCATCATGGAACACCATGGATAGCTCCCATAAAGTTCAAAGCTGGAATAATAAGAAGCTCCACTTGGACAGGTGTCACCACTTTCCCTGTGGTTCTTCCCTCCAAATGAGAACACATCTGCTGGTTGACTTTCACTTCCCCATTCCATGGGGCTTATAGTAGTGCATTTTGAACCCTTGTGTGAATAGTTACTTGGGGATGTGATTGGAGTGGAGAAAAAGGGGCTAAGCAAAGTGTGAGGAAGTATATCTTTCTCTTGCTGCTTTCCCATTCAAAACTGCCCCAATTAAGCTGCTTTCTCACAAACCAAAAATAAATCAGTGTGAGGGCTCTCTTACATATGTTTGCACATAACAGATAGTTAGCTTTATAGTTTTAACCTCAGCTATTTTTCCAGAGAATTGAAACTAATTGTCCACATATTCCATGTCTGGAAAAAAATTAAACCATGTCAAAAAAGACTTGCAATATCTGAATGGTGCTATGAATGTCTTTTGAAACACAAATGCACATATAAAGCTTCCCAATTTTTATATACAAGGTGAAACCAATACTTGTTCCACAATTCAAATCAGCTCTGATCTGAATATTAGCATCTTTACTGGAGATGCATACATTTTACAGTACCTGGTGCCTATCCACAATCTAGGAAAACTTCCCCTTTCTTTTCATCCATTCTACATCAGAGGGTAGAATGAGCCAAGATAAATCAGGAGCTTTCTAATCAGTGGAAGCCAAAGAGGAAGTTTCACATCTCAGACCAGAAGTATTGTTTCATGATATGAATCAAGGTTAGGAATCACCTGGCAAAATTACTTACAAATTTAATCTGTGCATCCGTGCAACCTGCAATACAATAAAATATTCGAAAACCCAAATATAGGATATTTACATCATCTTCACCACCACTACCCAAAACTATTATACACACAGTAAAAAAAGCAGGTTGCTTACCTGTAACTGATGTTCTTCAAGTGGCCATCTGTGCATTCACACATATGGGTTGCTGCGCCTGCGCAGTGCCTAGGCCGGAAGATTAGAAAGCTAACGGTTTTTGGCGGGGAAAAACTCCGCTCCCCTCCCCCTTCGTGGTATAAATAGAGCGGAGTGTCCGCCATTTTACTCAGTCTTGAAGCCCGCACGTTCGCCCTCTAGAGGTTAAGAATAAAAGTAATGAGAAAACACAATTACATCTGAACGGTACTGATGTGAATTATAGTACGGTACCGAGAACAATATCTAGTCAGCGATATAACCCAACGGTACAGATGCAAATTACATTTCGGTACCGAAAACAATAACCACCCAGTGACATAACCCAAATGGTACCGATGCAATTTATAGTACGGTACTGAGAAAAACGATATCCACTCACCAACACCGAGTGGGGCCGGCGGGTGGGTTGTGTGAATGCACAGATGGCCACTCGAAGAACATCAGTTACAGGTAAGCAACCTGCTTTTCTTCGTCGTGGCCTCTGTGCATCACACATATGGGTGATTCGCAAGCTTACCACAGTCAGAGGAGGGAGGTGTTGTCAGCGAAGAACAGATGAGAGAACAGCTCTACCAAAAGAGCAGTCTTGTCTGGCACGTACATCAAGCCAATAGTGCTTGGCGAAAGTACATGGACCAGCCCAGATCGCAGCTCTGCAGATGTCTTGCAGTGAAACCCCTGCGGCAAAAGCGGACGAGGTCGCTACTGCTCGTGTAGAGTGGCCACTTGGAAAGACAGGTAAGTCTATTTTCGATAGCTGATAAGCCAGGACAATAGTCTGGACGATCCAATTAGAGAGTCTCTGAGATGATATCGGTGATCACTTTTCACGCTCGGAGTATTTAACAAAAAGTCTATTAGTAGTACGAAAAGATTCAGTGAGGGATCTGTAAAAGGCCAAGCAACAGCGAACATCAAGCGTGTGTAGAGCACGTTCTATTGGGGTCAACGGCGATGGAAAGAATGCCAGCAGAACGATGTCCTGATTCAGGTGGAACGGTGTGGCCACCTTGGGTAAAAAGGAGAAATCCATCCGAAGGACGACTTTTTCCTTATGGAAGTTCAGAAATGGTGGGTCTATGCGGAGAGCACAAATTTCGCTAGCTCTCCGTGCTGATGTAACTGCTACGAGAAAGGCAGTTTTCCATGACACCAGGCGTAAATCCACAGTTGCTAAAGGCTCGAACAGTGGTTTGGTAAGCGCTTGGACGTTGGCATGGCAGGGCGAATAGACGGATGTAAATTTTGTAGTCCCTTAATGAAACGCCAAACCAGCGGTTGAGAGAAGACTGATAATCCGTGGATAGTGCCACGATAATGGGATATAGAGGCTGCATAAACTTTGATGGATGATGGTTTAAGTCCCTTATGATGCAAACGCAAGAGAAATTGTAAAATATTGGTGACTGAAGCCGTTCCAGGGGAAAAGGAATGGCACTCTGCAAAAGAGGAGAATCTTCTCCATTTAGCCATATAGGAACGAGTGGACCGTCTCAATGCAGATTTGAGAATCGCCTGAATTTCTCTGTCCGTAGGCATCGGTACCGTGGCAGTTGCTGTCGAATCTGAAGTCGGGGCCACATATACCGTTAGTTGAGTAAGGTCACCCGTACGGTGAGGTGTTCCCGGTACCGACTCAGTGGCATGAATCAGGTGATCCGCCATGCCGTCAGCTTCAGACAGAGTATATCCAGATGATAGATTGCTCCTCCTTGTTGTGTTAACACATGCGGAAGATTCTGGACAGCAGCAAAAGAGTGGCAAACCATGGTTGTCTCGGCCACCACGGAGTCACTAGTATCCCCGTGGCATTGTCCTGGGCTATTTTCGCAACCACTCTTGTCAGGAGTGGGATCGGGGGAAACGCATAAAAAGTCATGTTGCTCCAAGGGACCATAAGAGTGTCCCCCATCGATCCCGGCCCGACGCCCGCTCTGGAACAGTATAGGGCACATAGGCTGTTCTCTCGGGTGGCGAACAGGTTCATGTCCGGATAACCCCACAAGCGGAAGAGTTTCTCGCAAATTTGTTTGTCCAACTCCCATTTGTGGATTGTTGACATCTGTCTGCTTAATGTATCTGCTTTGACGTTGTTGGTTCCAGCCAGATGAACTGCCATAAGCACGATGTTCCTCGGTATGCACCAGTCCCAAATGTCCATTGATAGGCGTGCTAAGGCTGGGGATTTTATGCCCCCCTGCTTGTTGATGTAGAAAACTGCCGGTATGTTGTCTGATGCAATTTGGACAACTTGATGGCATAACACAGTCTCGAAAGCCTTGACGGCGTTGAAAATCGCCAGAAGTTCCAGAAAGTTGATATGTTTCCTCGCCTCTCGTCGGTTCCAAGTACCTTGGACCCGAAGTCCCGAACATGCCGCACCCCATCCAAGGAGGGATGCGTCGGTGTACAGAGTTGTCGTTGGCCGAGGTGGTCGAAACGGGGCGCCGATCGACAGGTTGTCTGTGATGGTCCACCACGTTAAAGTGTGAAGGATTGCAGATGGAATCTGAATCGGCTTGGTGGCAGGATCTTGTTGCGGTTGAAAAGCAGCATTGAAAAACAGTTGTATGGGTCGCATACGTAGTCTGGCATATGGGACAATGGCAATTGCAGCAGCCATATGCCCCAGTAGTCTCTGAACGGATAAGGCTGGGACTGTTCCATGTAGCCAAATCCGATGAATATGGCTGCATAAGGCATTCTGACGTTCCGGTGGGAGGAAGGTTTTTTTCCTGCGTCAAGTCGTGCCCTGATGAAATCGATGACCTGCGTGGGAATAAGGGACGATTTGTCGCGCTTAATGCAGAGATCGAGAGCATCGAGTAGAGCGCAGGTCATTTGTATATCAGACAGGAGAGCTTGCTCGGATTGCGAGACGATTAGCCAGTCGTCTAAGTATGGGTATATCTGTATTCCCCATGTCTTCAAGTATGCGCATACCGGCGCCATACACTTCGTAAAGACTCGAGGGGCTGTGGCCAAGCCAAAAGGTAGGACGTTAAACTCGAACAGGTCAGATCCGACATTAAATGTAGAAAGCGTCTGTGTGAAGGATGGATGGAAATATGAAAATAAGCATCCTTTAAATCCAGTGAGGCGAACCAATCCTCTCTTTTCAATAACAGAAGGATAGTTTGCAAAGTGGTCATCCGGAACTTCCTTGGTTTAATGTACTTATTAAGAATTCATAAGTCCAGGATCGGACGAAGACCACCGTCCCTTTTCGGGACCGTAAAATATCTGGAATAGAATCCATGCAATCCTTCCGAGCAGGACAATTGTCAAATTGCTCCCTTGAGAAGTAGCTGGGAGACCTCATCGCATAGCACCAATGAAGAAGGTGTGACGCAGATCGGGCTCGAAGGAGGGATAACATCGAATTCTATCCTATATCTGAACTGGATGATAGATAACACCCACCTATCAGATGTAATGGACTCCCAAATGGGGAGTCAGCCCTGGAGCTGGTTCCCAAAAGGAAGAAGGGAAGGTGGTGTTGGGAAAGAGAGGATGGTTCGCCCAAGCCATCAACATGGGCGTTTATCGGTATCGAATCGCTGACGGCCTTGGGAAAAACACTGTTGTGTTTGCTGTCTCCGATGCTGCCGTTGTTGATATTGCTGGCGAGGGTAGTTTTGCTGGCGCGGATAGTATGGCTGGTTCCAGTAGGAAGACCGAGGCCACTGCCACTTACGTTTTTGCGGGAGCTCCATGTGGCGTGCAGTTAGGCGTGATTCGTGAATCGCCTTTAATTTGCGGTCGGTCTTCTGGTGGAACAGACCGGTACCGTCAAATGGCATTTCCTCGATTCTGCGCTTCATCTCATTGGGGAAATTACAATTGCGCAGCCACGCATGTCGGCGTAATGAGATGGCATTGACAAGGGCCCTTGAATCGGTGTCTACATGATGACAAGCGGTAGACAACTGTTGCACCGCCACCTGCATCGCCTCCTTAATGAAAACCCTGGCAAGGTCCGCTTGGTGGTCTGGAAGGGAGGAAGCAAGCTTCTGCATGATAAAGTACTGGTAACGTGCCAGTGTCGCTTCGTAGTTCGATATGCGCATGCCGAGTCCAGAGGCCGCATAGACTCGGCACGCAAGCATATCGATTTTCCTCCCTTCCTTGTCCCGAGGAGCGGTATGTCCCCTGGACTCCCTGCCCTGGGAGGAGTCAACTGCAAGAGAGTTCGGTTTCAGGTGACGGAGCAGGAAGGGAATGTCATCATCACGAACTCTATACATGGCCTCATATCTGCAGGAGATAGCTTGTGATTGGGCCGGTTGGGCCCAGGGCTGGACCATAGCCTGGCGGAGTGTAGTTATAAGCAGCAGAGCTATGGATGCGGACTGCTCTCCCCGAACGACATCATAAAACCGATCTGTGGAGGGGCCTGGCTGTTGATGAGCTTCGATTTCAAGTGAAAAAACTAAGCGGGACATGAGCTCTGTGAAAGAGACATGCGGTTCGTCGGGTGAAGCAGGCCCTTGGTATGCAACAGCCACATCAGGGGATGTGGAGTCGACCTCCGAATCCTCGGAGTCTTCCACGTAACGTGGCCGGTTTTCGCTTGAGGAGGAGGTTTCAGGGGAGGTTGGGCGCCTCATCTCTATATGCCTGGAGGTGGATGGTACGTCCCTCGGGACCGATGGTGATCTATGATCCCGAGGAAAATAGGGATATGGTTGGTAACCACCCCAGCCAGGGGGAGCACCATATCCCGGGATCAACCAACTCTCATCTCGTTGTTCGGATGAAAGGCTGCGACAACTGGGAGGTAATGGTGAGGCCACATGAGGTTCAGTCAGTGACATAGGTGTTGGCGAGCGATCCCTTGGCAGGGAGTCTCTGATCTCACCATCAGAGATGGACTCCCAAAGCGGCTCCTCCTGTTGCTGGGAAAGCACGCTCTCAGGCCGAGTGGTTGGCCTGGGGGATCCCGGTGGAGTCACCTGCATAACGACTTGCAGGGCTGGTCCCAAGGGGGTCGGTACTATGGCGGCCGTCGGTACCGAAAAGCCCGATGAACCTGAGCCCCGGTGTTTTGGGCGATCAGGTTTCTTGCTCTTGTGAGCGGGCTTATCCATCTTCTCCTTCCTCAGCTTCTTATGGGTGGAAGGTTTATCCAGACTGGTATGCTTGTGCTTCTCCCGTTTCTTAGCTGGGGGAGAAGGCAGTGACTGAGCCTCCATAGAAGCGGCGCCTTCGTCCGAAGGATGCTGCGGAGGATCGGCAGAGGTTGAGGAAGGACGCTTCGCCGGAGCACTCATGGTGGAGGAAGAGCACTGAGGAGGCGCGGATGAAGAGAAACCAGGCCGTAGGAGCAGTTGGTCAGACTGCATTAATGCCTGATCCCATAGGAACATCCTGAGACGATTCTCCCTGTTTTTCCGCGCCTGCTTGGTAAACGCCAAGCAATGACCGCATTTGTCGGTCCTATGCCCCTCGCCGAGGCAGAGGAGGCATAGATCATGTGGATCAACTGGCGACATTTTAGATCCACATTCAATACATTTGCAGAATGCCTCCCGCTGTGCCATTGCAGAAAAATGAAGAAAAGAGGACAGTATAAAGGGTAAGATAATATTTTTGGTTTTTTTTTTTTTGCTTTTTTATATATAGAGAGAAGAGAATTTAAGAAGAAAACAGACAGAATCGGGAAGAAGAACAAACTTGGAGCAAGAGGATTTTAAGGTTTTTGAGAAAAAAACAACGAAGAGGCACAGATCTATAGCGAGAGACGAATAGGCATGAGGCACAGCGAACGGCGGTCGCAAAGACTGAGTAAAATGGTGGACACTCCACTCTATTTATACCATGAAAGGGGAGGGGAGCAGAGTTTTTCCCGCCAAAAACCGTTAGCTTTCTAATCTTCCAGCCTAGGCACTGCGCAGGCGCAGCAACCCATATGTGTGATGCACAGAGGCCACAACGAAGAACTTCTACAAACTTACCTACATTTTCCATTATTTGTTGTATAAAAACATTTCAAGGTGTAAGTTTAGGAAATTTTAATCTCCCCCCCCACCCAATAGCAGCTTGATCAATATGTGACAGAGCCTAGACACAACCCCCACTGCACCCCTCTAGATCTAAGGTCTAATTTAGATCTAAGGTCACTTAGATCACTGACTGAACCTGCAGTCAGTAGCAGGGCCTTGTTGGCAATGGCATGCTTGTTATGGAGCACTGCTTTGTAATTTGTTCTTTAATAACAGGCATGATGCTAGGGAAGCATAGTTAATGGCCTGTTGAAGAGTTGGTCAGGAGGTTCAGTCTTGCTGAAAGTGATTATTTAGTTGTTTCAATGGTTGATGTTTTAAGGTACACTTTAGGTCAGCAATCTTGAGAGTTCCTTTGGGCAGAACAGCAAGATCTAAATGTATCAATGAATCAAAGAAGTTGAGTTAGTGCAGCACTTTGGCTTCAAGAGAGGTAATCCTCCAAGCCATGCTGCCAACTTCTTTCTAATAATTTACGGAATCCCAGCAAAGCCCTTTCTTACTTTCATCTCGTCTATCCAATCAATACTGTACAGCATGTTTTGAAACAGCTGCTGCAGTGTAAGATTTGTCTCCAGCCGCTGGCGACGGGCCCGCAGCAGTTCCAGCAAGTACTTCCAGAGCCTCAGTATATTGTCCTTCCGAGCATTGATGCGCTTGATGTCATGGTAATTCTCCTTCTCCAACTCTTTGGCCACCTCTTTTATGGCTTGGACACGTTCCTTGTAGGCAGCAGTGTCAGTTTCAATGGCTTCGTGCTTCTTCATTGCTGCCTCCACAGCTGGCAAGTCATTTCCAAAGTTATCCTGCCAAATGTAAAAATGGCCTTGGTCAGAAACAGCATTTGTTGTTCATTTTGCTTCTCATGCAGCATACAGTATTGAGGAGTGGTGTATGTTAAAAAAAAAGCACAAAGAAACAGAAAGGAACTTGGTACCATTTTAAACAAGTGAGAACAGACTGTTTTATGTCTGTGTTTGAAACCTGTACCAGCTAGTCACATCACTGTTGATTCAGAGACTAAACACCACATAATAGTTTCATAAGAATTTCCTGCATGGCACATTAAGAGGCAGTCTCCTGTAGCCTTTGTCTATATGGTTAAGCCTTACATTGTCATTCTTAAGAAGCAGCTCAAGGTATTTTATACAAATAGACAGAATAAAGCTCTTTCTGGACTGCCCATTTTCATTTTAACTCATCATTTGTGTTAGTTTATAACATGGTGAGAAGAAAGTATCCTTTTGATACGTATCTACAGGTCCTTTTCATGGTTTGTAATTGTCCTAAACCACCTTTACACATATGGCTATTACTTCTGCACAGATACATAACATGACAGAAAGTACAAATTACCTGTATAACTTCAGGAATGGCATTAGAACCAGGCCATCTTGCTGTACAGACTTCTAAAAGTTATGTGACCTCTACACACTCTAAATAACAAAGACTGCTCCTGCATCCCAGAGTCTGGGGAAAAAAAATCTAGTCTGACTAATCTGCTCTATGTTCCATATAGATGGTAATTATGAAGCAAGTGATGATCTTTTATTGTATTTCAAGTCTAAAAGGAATCCAAGGAATTTTATAAACAGATCAAAACTAAAAAAGGAGGTTAGAGTCTGAGGAGGAGGCAGGGACTCTTTTGTGACACCTCAGTGTTTCCATTATGATTTGCAGTGAAAAATTACAGTGTTCCAGAAATACAACTGGTATAATTTGGTGTAAATTGTATTGAACCTAATTCACAATTCCATCAGGTTGACTGCCAGTCCTGCCACAGTCCTCTGAAATCTGGAACTTCATACTTATCTCACTCTATTATAGACTATGCAGAACTTTATATAAATAAAGTGTTTCTCTCTCTCTCTCTCCCTCTCTCTCTCTCAGCATAGCAAAAAAAAAATAAATTGGATTTACAAATAAAATTTCTAGCATGGCATAAATCACAAGTTTAGTACTACAGCTAATATCCCACTACTCTGAATGTAAGAAAACAGTAAACAAAGCAATGGTGGAGCCCCATTGACAACCATTTTGTATCTCCTTCAGTAACTTCCAAAAAAAGACAGCGCTGCCTTCTTGCCTTGCAGTCAGCTCATTACCTTCTGTCAAAACACACCTACTTTCTAGCTGTGGAGAAAATGCTTTAACTGTAGAACGTTTCACAGAAGTTTAACTATGCATCCACCCACACACTCAACATTGTCTGCTCCTCCTGATGCCACCAGTTATATCAGAAATTGAAACTAGCACACACTCCCAGATGGTTCCACATTACCTGTGCAACCAGGCGCTGGTTTTCACTAAGCCATGTCTCCCGCATCGCTGCCTTGCGATCAAAGCGCCGGGCAAGCTGTTCCAGCTTCTCCTGCCTAATAAGCTCGTTTCTCAGTGCCAATTCCCGTTCATGCTCTGCCTTCTCCAGCTTCTCCCAGGCCTGTGCAAATGTATTCAACAGGAGAATGATAATCTAGTAAGTATTATTTATGGAATGAATTATCAAGAGGCAAGTAAATTCCTACAAAATGCAGCATGGCTTACTTAAGCATTCTATTCCTACAGTATGGTATAGTAGTTAGGATGTTGCACTGGGACTTAGGAGTGCTAAATTCTAGTCCGCACTTGATTATGAATCTCACTGGGTGATTCAGACTAGTTACTGACTTTCAGCCTAACTAACCTTGACAGTTTGTTGTGAGGATAAAATGGAGAGGAAGAGGGTTGTGTAAGCTGCCTTGGGTTCTTTGCAAGCAAAAAGGATATAATAAATAAAATACACCAATTGCACTGTCCAACCTCATATCAGCAAAATGCTGACCAAAAAGGTAAGTAGTTCTCCTTGCATTTCCCTTCCTTTAAGTAATAGGAAAATGCTAAGGGGTAATGGCCCAGACAATATATTTCTTCAAGTCCTTCTCAGCACATGTACTATAATAACTGAATAATAATTAAGACTAGCCTTTAGCAATTCTTATGGTTTTATGAAATTGCCATGGACTAGGTTCATGATCACCTCCTTTGTGCATTATATTTGCCCATGTCTATATGTACTGAAGAATGGTTGGGATTGCTTGAATGGATGGGGAAATTAACTGTGTAAACCAGATCTCACTTGACCACACTTCTGGTCCATTGGCCCAGAAGCTGACAACACCATTGGTCCAGTGGACTCAGTATTGACACTGACTGATAGGATCTGAGGTAGAATTCTTTCCTAGCCCTGGCTGAGATACCAGGGGATGGAACCCAGAACCTTCTGCAAGCGAAGTGGCTTGCTTTACATACCACTGAGCTATGGTCTCTCATAAAATACTCTAAGATAGAAGCTTGGAAACATATCCAACTTGTGGAATGGTGGGATAGTGGAATAAGAATTCCAGACTCCAGTTCTCCTTGTGGCCTTTTGTCTTTCTGATTCAGATCTATTGTTGTTAATTGTTCATGGATCCCTACATCAGTGGGCCACAACACATCTGGAAGCCTTGGAACAGTGTTCCTTCAACAGTCTAAGCCAGCATGTACATTAAAGATTAGTTGGAGTGCTATTATTCTCATGGCAGTTATGCAGCTCTTCATAGACTGAGTGCTATCGGTTTAAAATGCAGAATGTTAACCATGTGCTTGATTTCCAACAGCAACTAGAAGGTTTAGTAATCCTGTTGAAAAGTCAGCTTTTCTGTAAGTTCTGCCACAGAAACCGACTCTGACCCCAGCATCCGTTCTGTGATATGCTGGAGCACTTGGATGAAAAAGACTCTAGAAATATGAAGTCATAAAAGTGATATCTAAACTTGAATTTAACTGCAGTTAAAAGATTTGATGGCTGACATAAAGAGCGCCTTCCCTGTCTAAGTATTGCAAAGAAGCCAGTCCTTGTAGGGACACAAGAAGTTGTCAAAACGGATCAGCTTCATTGTCTTTAACCTATTTCCACCACCAGAGTTTCAAGGAAAGATGTAAAACTTCTAAACATAGAAATGAAATTTTCCACTGCTGAACTTTTTTGGCATAATCAAAATATAGGACAATAAATTCTGCAGTTTAGTTATGAACAAATTAGAAAAGACAAATTAAGATTATGAAATTTGCTTCTAGCCTTCAACGTAATTCAACTATGCCACATCCACAAATATGGCCTACATTGATTCAAACCATTCCTCTACCTAGCGCTGTGTGGTTTATATTAAATGGATAACTCAAACAGAAATCCATCCTTGGCTTGTTACATGAGATCCGTTTTAAAAGCTAGATATACTAGAGAACAAACTTGAGATCATCTGGGTGCAAAGCATATGTTCTAGCCCAAGCTAAGGCCAATTCTAACCAGCTTTATCAATTAAGAAAGGATGTTTTAAAATTTCTAGAAGGAAATCCCCACACTGAACTTCTTAATTTACCACAACACTGTGTTAACCAAAAGGAACTGTGGTACGTACCCTGTTGATATCAGACACTAGCTTTCCTTCATTGGGAGTATACACTCTCTGATTGTTGGCCCTCATTCGTGACTGGATGGTAAACAGCAGGACTTCCAGGTTCCCCTTCTCCTGAAATCTAGAACACACAAAAATGAGAAAGCACACCTCAGGGAAGAAAACACCAGAGAACAAAGAAGCAACATCTATCCACAGTTGCTGGTGCCAGACAGGCACCAACGCTCTTTCATTTTCTGCACCAGCGGATGTCATTTTTATTGCGCCCCCGGGGTACTGACTAACCACAGTTTTACTGAAACAACCCTATTGTAAATGTGTTATAGTTCTGTATTTCTATAATTACAATTACTACTACTATTATTTCTTTTACTGCTAACCACTGGGCTATTTTACTGGATGTAGAGAAGTAAAAAAAACTGTGCAAATAGCCTGTAAAATAAAAGCTTGCTCTGGTCACAGCTGGTTGAATAGGAAGGAAGGAAGGAAGGAAGGAAGGAAGGAAGGAAGGAAGGAAGGAAGGAAGGAAGGAAGGAAAGCAAGCAAGCAAGCAAGCAAGCAAGCAAGCAAGCAAGCAAGCAATTAATTTAAAGAGCAGATTTAAGTTACCATTAAGCATATGGATGATTATTGTGATTTGTATGACAGAAAAGAATGACAATTACAGAACTGACTTTTATTCCCTGGAATCTAAAAACCTTATATCCATTGCTCTGAGCCAAACCTACACAAGCACAGTAGTTTGAACTAAAAACATACCACCCCAGTTAGTCTCTCTGAATAGTCTCTCTGAATAGCTAGATGTTAAGCAGGAAAGAGAGAGAGGGATGTATTAAATCCAGCTCTATTCTCCCCTTTGGAACAGCTGATCAATATTAGCAAGAACATTTGACTGGAGCTGTAAGTGTGTAAGCCACAGCTGCTGAAGCAGGCTGGAGAACTGTGGACACAGTAGCAATTTCTGGCCACCATTCCAGATCCAAATGGGGTTGGAAAGTGGCCTTCTGCCCATATGTGGATAAGAGCAATAAGTGTTGTTTTAGCTAGAGAACAGATACAAGTTTAGCAGTCCACCCAATAATACAGCTAAATGGATGACTGGAGTGTCATGCCAATATTATGCACCAATATGTTTATCCATTCTGAAAGCATAATTAAGAATTCTGGGCAGAAGTCCTAGGATTTTTGTCATTTCAGAAGAAAATCACCATTTCCACAGTTTCAGAAGCACAGGCAAGAGCAAGGAAGGCATCTTCCTTTATCCTTGCTTTAGCAGGACACATCATTTTCTTTGCTTGGGTGTTGCGCAGTTGTATATTTAGTTAAGCCAAAGTAATCCAAAAAGGAACTTGCCCTAAAAGCCAGGCAACAGGTGAGTGAGTGGTAAGGTGCCACTTCTGTGCCTTTCGTACTTTTGTATGAAGAAGGCATGAAACAGGGAATCTTTAAATAATTATGTCATGCAAATTAAGAAAACTTGTACCAGTCAAAATTTGTTCTTTCCATACAAAAAACAAAAAGTACAGGAACTTTCCCCGTCTTTTGACTTTGAACACCCTAATGAACTACTTTCGATAAGCCCCTTTTCACCCAGTGCTGCCATAAGCAGTACATTTCTGCCATTCTATCAGAGGTGCAATTAGATATGTCAGAGATTTGTGGTCAGGAAGATCTACTGTTATTTAAGTTAAAAGAAGCCATAGTGAGGGATGGTATCATTTAAGGACTTTTGTACAGGAGTAAAACAGTTTAATCTCCTCCACCGTCCACTGACAATTTTGTTGATTTATTCCCATCAGTTGCTGCTTGTTTGATGAAGGAAAAACATGCAGATATGACTACAGCAAATATTAAGTTGGTGAACAGCACTGAGCACAATTAATGGTTTGTGAAAGAAAACATCACAAACTGTCCCAGCATTATTTAAGCTGGGAGACTTTCAGATGGAAGGTTTTGTGAGGAAAAACTCTGCTGTATCAGGTTGCTGGAGATTGCAGATTGTTGCTAGTCCGAATGGGTGGCAGTGCACTAAGCACATTCCAATTTGAGTACAATTCCACTCATGCTTTGAGTGGAATTAAGGGCACAAGTAGGCAAGGCTTTGATTGTATAATCATACTACATTACAGAATTTAACAGGAAGTGCAAATGTCATCTGCAATTTGTCATCTGGTGTTTTCCTGCTGCTTCTTCCACCTTTTTACTACCATCTCTTTCTTCTTCTGTAGCAGGAAAAATCTGCTATGGAAGAAGAAAGAGAATAGCTGTACAATACCTTTTGGTTGTTAGTGCTAAGAACCCTCCACCCAGAAGCATGCCAAATCTCAGTGTGTCCAATGGGCCTTACACTCTGTATAAGTGTGGTTTGGATTGTAGCTAGTCCTTGCATTAAAATGATTCCAGATGAGGCTTTTCTGTCAACATCATTCTGCCTCATTCATGGAATTCTGCAATATCTCCCTCTTTTAACCCACTAATGTTTTCCAATATGTCTTCTGTTTTCTTATAATGAAAAAACTTTTTTTAAAGAGAGTTGGTGTACAATGCCTTCTGGCTGTTAGTACTAGGAGATTTCTATCTGGAGTGTTACATTATCCCAGGTTTCATATTTTTCCAGTGGTACCTTACAACCCAGTTTAATTGCTGAGAAAAGCTTCCACCTGGATGCCATCTTTATGTACAGAAATCCTTGTTTAACAGCTCTGCAGGAAGAGGGCAGGAGAATGAAAACTTTTCTTTTTGAATAATGAGTCAGGTAATCACTGACAATCCAGATATTAACATTTGTCAGATTCCTCCCGTTTGAAAGGAGAGGAAAGGTTGTAAATCTGCACAAAAATATGAACTTGCATTTTATTTTGGCATCATTACAAAGTATTATTTAGGATGCATCAAATGCCCTTTTCCTTTCAATCTTGGCTGCTTGACATTATTCATTACAGTATCATCATCATACTGTTGTATGCCAATCTTCACCTCAAAATGCCTTGGATCACATCCAAATGAGTCACAATGCAGAAGGGAACAATGTAAGCCTCTGTAAAGAAATGGTAAACATCAGCAAAAAAGTGCCTCCTTCCAGCTGACAGGTGCTTACTTGGGAGGTTTTTCCACTGTGCGGTATGTACTGAAGGACTGGAGTTGCTGCTGCACGCCTGCCAGACAATTAGCAAACTTGCGACTGTTGAGGCTGGTGATGGTCTGTTCTATCCACGTCAGCAGGTGTGAAGCCAAGCCACTGTACTTATCGATCATCTTTTCAGTCTCCATTGCATGATCCATTACCTGAGAGAAGGAATAAACAAAGTGATATTCACTTGGCACTTGCTTCTGCTGCTGCTAGAAATATGACAAACCCTTTTATCGACTCAGGGATCCTACATACGGGAATCTTCTACAGTGTCAACAAGTCTGGCTTCACTGCATTAGAAATTCTGGACTGCATGCAGGGAAGACTGCCTAGAAGTCTCAGGACTGTCAGATCAGATTAACAAGAGGAACCTTTCTGAATTTAAAACAAGGTTATGAATACTTCATACTGGCAAGATTTCATCAAACGTTAGGGGATTTAAGGAACCAAAAAAGATAGTACTGCAACCATACATGACCTATACAAGATCTCCAGGTCATATAGCTGTGCCATGTTTTGATAATAATGGCCGTAAAATATCTCAGAGAAGTGCAGCTATCTTTTCTTCCTGGGACAACCATCACCATTGTGACCAGGCAGAGCCAACTTTCATGCCAGCATAATCTGTACTCATTCCATGCTGATTTATGTAGCTTATGCAGACGAAAGAGGAACCAAGTGTAGGTCCCAGCACACTATGCAATCTGCTCCACAGTGACTGAGGATGGCGAAATAAGGCACCTCAAATAAGCACTCTCGGGACATAACCAGATGTTACAGGTCTGGGAACAGGGTGACTTTCCCTAATGGAAGATGCCTCCATTCTTAGGGTTATCCCACCAAAAAAAATAACTGATAGGAAACTATCATCCTGGTTGAATCTTCTGACAAACCTTAGTCTGTCCAATTACTTAGGGAGTTCTAAGACCTTTCTCTAGGAAAAGGAAATATCTCTGGATTTTCCTGTTCAAACAGAGAACTTAAAGAGATTATGAAAATTCTAAGAAAGCTAGTGAGAAGCAGCCAAAAATCCAAATGCATGTATTTGGGAATTGGAAGGTAGGGGTGTGTGTGTGTGTGTGTGTGTGTGTGTATTCCTAAATATATATTCCAAGAATTCTATATGTTCTTGCATGGTGCCAAATTTCTGAGATGCTTCAGGGGGCACTCTTGAGCTACATCTACAGTAAAGATCAAACATCAAATTCAGATTGATAAATATAGATATATTGATATATAATGCAAGCCAGTCTCCAAGTTCCACCAACATACGTCACAGTCTAGGGCAGAGGTGACGAACCAATGGCACTTGTGCCACAATGGGTACACAGCGCCCACTCCGTCAGCATGTGAGCCAAATGGCCCCAGCATCACCCCAGCAGCCGAGCATCAGATAACAGCACACACAGGGGCCATGCGCATGCTCAGAAAGGAGTTGCAGCGCCAGGCAATAATGTCACGAGCCATGATTCATTAGCCGCGACTCGTCCAAGCTTTCACATGGCTGGTCAGTGCGCTGCCAGGAATATGAATATATATATATATATATATATATATATATATATATATATATTTGCTTGGACTAGCTGTGAGTTGTTTTTTTCTAAACTAAAACCGCAGCTTTCAGGTTTAATTGTAGTGTTGGGACATTGTGATAAAGAAGTGGGTTATGGGTTGCGGTCTGGGCATTTGGTCTCTAAACGGTTCACCAGGACTGGGTTAGGGTTAGAAAAACAAAGTGTCCTGGTATGATTTTGACGGTTGGAATGTGTTTAGAAAGGGCAGAAATGTTGAGCAGTGCAGAAAAAGGTATTCAAGGAAGGCTTTTTCAAAAGAGCCCCATTTCATATGCTATTTCACCCATATATTAGGGTTAGGGGTATGCTCCAGGGTAGGATTAGGGTTGGAAAATTGAGGTGTCCTGACATGATTTTGATGGTTGCAATGCATTTAGAATGGGTGGAAATGATGAGCTGTGCAGAAAAAGCTACTCTAGGAAGACATTCAAAATTGCCCTATATAGAATAGTATTTCACCCATATATTAGGGTTAGGGGTGTGCACCAGGGTAGGGTTAGGCTTAGAAAAATGAGGTGTCCTGGCATGATATCAATGGTTGGAATGCATTTAGAATGGGCAGAAATGATGAGCAGAGCAGATGGTGGGTTCCCACCAAAATGCTCTCTGCTGCAGAAAGACATATAGAGACACTGAAGAAGAACTATAGTAAAGATATATATCCTTATATATATAAAGGATAAAGGACTTGTCTGCTGCTCAAAGGGGTTATATCACCACATCCTTACCTTTCCAACTCTTTTTCCTTCCACAGCAAGCACCTTCATCTTAGAGAAGTAGTGGTAGAATGCAACTACGTAGGTGATGATGGATTTCTCATCTGGATTCTCTGTAAAGACATCTGAGGGGCAAAGAGATTGTCAATTGTTGCCTTGAAACACAGAACAGCGGACTTGGGCTATGCTTGAAACCTCATCATTCCACCTTTTGTAGCAGGAAAACACAATGTAGCAATTATGCACAGCCTCATTACTCAGCCCACTTCAGATAAGAAAGCACCGGAATGTAGGGGGCAAAGCTAGATGTATAAGTTTGTTTTCCCACGAGGATATTCTCTGTGCAGGAGAAAAATAATGTGTTTAGGAACACTGACTTCTCTGATAAACAAAATATGAAAATAATTATAACTTCAACTGAGAACCAGTAGGGCATAGTGGTTAGAGTGTTGGAGTGGACTTGGAAGATCTGGGTTTTAGTCCCCGCTCAGTCATTAAGTTCACAGGGTATCTTTGGGCCAGTCACCAACTCTCAGCCAGTATCTCTGCAATATATGAAATACAGACTTCTGTTCTGATTGCATGTCTGTAAGAAACATATAGATTGAATTTAACGGGGATATAAAATTGCTCTTATTCAATACAATTATGTCTGAACATTTGTAAAGTCAGTAATAAGAAAATATATAAAAACCTGGAGCTTCAAGGAAGCTTCTTACAGTGAAGGCAATTTTTTCATTTTAAAATAATAGGTTGTATCCAATGTCAGTTGTACTTAGAATAGAGCCACTGAAATGAACAAGGCTTAGGCTAGATTAACATTGAATATGGCCAAACATTTTAATCCAAACATAAACCAAAATAATATGCAGACTTTAGGAATGTTAGATGTAATTATGTTTTTTTAAAAAATATATTTCACATATGGTAAGTAATGAGGAGACGAATAGGAGAAGTTGCATATATATATTCAAGTTAAAGAATGACACTTCCACCAAGAAACATTTTATACAACATGTTGATCTATGACTATATCCTGAACCTATTTATCCCTCTTTTCTATGGTAACTTCAAATTCAAGAGGATTTCTAAATAAATATATACAGTAGTCCCCCAAAATTCATGGGGGTTACGTTCCTAAAGCACCCGTGAATTGTGAAAAACCGTGATTTTGGTGCTGGTGATGGGTGAGACTGGCAAGGTGGTGTGGGCGGGAGGTGCAGACTGGGGCGGGGGGGGGCATGTGCGTGGCGAGGCAGGGGTGAGCGCACGCAGAGCGAGTCCAAACTCGGAGAAAACTATCTCCTTGTGAGTAAGCCGCCGCACGGCGAGGCGCCAGCTTACTTGCATGGAGATGGGCTTGGACTCGCTCGGAGAAAAACTCCGTGAAAGACTGAGGCCGCAAACGCTGAACCATGACTTCATGAGGGTATACTGTAGTTCAAACACCTTAAAAACCACTTTAATGGTAAATAAAAAGTAACTACAAAAGTGACACCTCAAAATCCATATCAGCAACAGCAGACCAAAAACATACAAAGATTCAGATTTTTAAAATGCTTGGAGAATTAACCTGGTCTTAAGGGTCGATTTGAGAGCAGCCAAAAAGTAGTATGTAGCTTCTATTCATTTCAAAGAGGCATGCCTGGTAGATTTTCCTGTGCCACAAGAGAGCATGTGGCTATTTAAACACCTGAGCTTTGCAGTCACCATCATATATCTATAATTCCTTTATGGTCTTCAGTCAGACATTTTGCACCTAGTCCAAAGTCCTTAGCTCTCAAAACTACTTCTTCTGTAGAGTGTCATCTGCTGCATCAGCTCAATACTCAACTTAAAAAGGGCAGGAACTGAGCCAAACAAACTCACCTTCTGGGTCAAGAAGCTGCGTGATGCCAAGTTTCTGCTCTGCCACACTGAATGCTTGCTCCAAATTGTGCCTGGCATTTGAGTGCTTCAGTTTCTCAAAGTCAATCAGTTCAGGCCTAAAATTGAAGTGTGTATAAAGGGGAAAAACACCTTAACAAAATATACAGCATATTAGGCTAGCTCTATCATGGAAAGAGAATGTTACAAAAGCTGCAATATGGAGTGCTCCTGCTCAGTAATTTGATCAAGTGGACAACCATCCCCACCTTCCAAGAGACTTCATTCCATTCCCCCTTGCACCCCATTCTCTGAGTTTCCCTGCCCAGTCAGACAGAATTCTGCAGCCACTGAGTACACTTGGTCCTTGCTGTGCCGTCTTGGTTTTTCGCCACCCCTGCTAGTTTTTTAAAGCTTTTGTACTTGTGCAAACCTCAGAGTTTTTCCAAGGAAAGTCTACTGATATCTGCTTCTTAAGCATGGATAGTGTTGTATTGGCAATGGGAGCAACAGTGCTCACCTCTGAACATCAGAAACAGAATGAATGTTAACTCAGAATCATAGAAACAGAGTGAGTCAGAAGGGGCTCCTGGGCCATCTAGTCTGACCCCTGGCTCCAGCTGGCTCTGCTCTGACATGCCTACCATGTGCATGTCCAGCCTATCCTCGAACACCCTCACCAATGGGGCTTCAACCACCTCCTGTGGAAGCCCATTCCATACCCTAGGGGTCCTAACTGTCAGAAAGTATTTCCTGGCATCCGAATTGATCCTTGGTTTCCTGTGCTTTGCTCTGTTGGAATGCATCCTGCCCTCCTCTACAGGGAAAAACAGGTCTCTATATCATACTGGCAGAAGGAAACAGACAAGGTTCATGGAGGAAAGGCTGGCAAATTTGTGCCCATCATCATTACTAGGGTAGACACAGCAACAAAACTCTTCACATTTCCCATCAACTCCCTGCACTTCAGATCAATGCAGGGGTCTTTCTAGCCCTTACCTGTGTTTGTGAATAAGAGCACTGAAAGCCAAGCCATCCTTCCAGCTGGAGGTGAAATTGGTGACATTAACATGAGGATAGCTGCATTACAAAGAGAAATCAGGGGAATACAAAAGGAGTTATAATTCAATGCACATGGTGAGAACTACAAAATGATAGTCTAATTGCAGACATTATTTGGTATGAAGGAATGGGGCTAGAACACTATCTGTTATGTACAGCACAAGCTACATTTTCAATCCACCCTGAGGAAATGCCAGTATATGCAGTTTTCCACCTCTGCATTTTAAGAATGAGAAATGTAAAAGAAAGAGGTATAGCTTACAATTGGAAATGGAGACCCTCCTCCATCTTCAGAGGGAAGTTTAGTTGAGATGGGCAACTCTGATCAGCTATGTCCAACTGATACTCCAGAGAATGGATGAAATACATAGGACTTTTCTGTTAGTGCTGGTTCTCTACTTCTACCTACTTCACAAAACACCTGTTTACCTTCTCCATCAGGTCTAAACAAAACACTAGGTTAAATACAGAGGGTCCTAACATTTTAACCTTTTAGTTAAGTGTGTGGGGCCCAATCCAGATAAGGACCAGCACACATAGAGAGGGGAGTTCAATACTCAAACCTTCCTTCCTCCCAGTCACTCCCCTCAGTATTCATCTCCCTTCTGCGCAAGGGCTAAAAAATTAGATAAAACACCTCATCCAGCATTGATGGAGATTTTCTTTTTGTTTTAGCCCCCACAAGGGCTAAAGTTTGAAGGGGGGTGATAACCATATAGGAAGGTTAAAACTGTCTCTACCTCCAGATTGCTGGTCTTTATTGGGACTGGAGGCTCACCCACCTACTCAAAGGAAATAAAGAAATTCAGGATCATTTACATGCTATATAATTAACATAGTTTATCCCCATTATACCAGGAACATGTACCAGAAACAGCGCACCCTGGACACTTGAGGAAAGAGAGATAGATGGCATGTATGTGCATGCATGTGCGTGTGCACATGTGTATACTTACATATACGGACACAAGTGACTATGTGCACCTGATATCATAAAAATCAGTGGCATTAAAAAGGATGAGACAGGCTGACTTAAGTTAGTGCCCATCTAGTACAGTATTTAGTTTTACCCATGGTATAGATGGAAATGATTCATTGATATGGACTATGATTATCCTTCTTAAAAAGTAAATTAAAGTGGTGCATAACAAACTATTATTTCTCCTCATGGGTTGCTTTGGGTTAACAAGTCATAAGTTAGTTAGCATGGCTGTGTGCATGCAACACAACCCACATTCCACAACTGCCCCTGACAACAGCCCACACCCATCCTTGAGTGTGGGTTGTCATGTTATGTGGACCCAACCTGTACGTTAGACCTAAACTGTTAAATAAGATGGAGGAGAACAGACAGATGGGATGCGGGAATGGCAAGCTCATGCCTGATCAATTATAAGAGCTGCAGATTTGCACTTTAGTAAGGAGCTCAGCCAGAAAGAAGCTTGTGCCAGTCTGTTGAAAGGCAGGTGCATCCTGGAGGGTGGGGCAGAGGAGGGAGACAAAGTGATCAGACTCCATTTCTATTCTGATTTGTCATGGGAAATGTCTATTTTCTAAAGAAAGCAGTGGCAACAGGAGCTCCAGAAAATCCTGGTCACTGTGGGCAGAGGGAAGGAGAAAGGAGCACTTCCCACTGGGAGACTACATACTTTTGTTTGAATTTGCCCGTGCAGTGAATGGGAAGAAGGAGTAAACCATCTCAAGATATTCTCTGCCACCGATGCAGAGAAAAACTCCTGATGTGCTACAAATCTGATATCCAACCTATAATACTGGAAACAACTGATTCAGACTCCCCTACAGTAAAGAGAACACAACAGAAGGACTTGAAAGAGACAGATTATGTTTCAGCAAGTAGCAGATGTTCAAGGCAAGAATGGGCCCTTGGGAACTTGGCTTTCAGGACAAATCACATACACTCGTGTCATTTCTGTTTTAGGGTAGGATATCCATAGTCCCTCTGTGCCTCGTTTCCCACTGCTAAATGTGAGCAATATAGCTCTTCTCTCACTCACAAGAAGTTTGGAAAGATATATACATTTGAATAGGGATATGCAATACTTAGATACTATAGTAATGTTAATCAAGTTAGCACCAAGCTCCAATGGGACCTACATGTGATCATCCTCTGCATTTCATTTGATACCTTAAGCTACAGAATGCCACTGTGTGTTCTCATTACCCAACCCAGAACCTACAGATGATGTATAAATAATCTTTGGAAAAGATCATATATTAGTACCACAATGATCGGGATCAGAAGGGTTATTCTAGCAACTGATTCTCCTTACTATCAAAATGCCAATATTTTGATTTCTAGCTGTATCAACATCTAGCCATGTCAAGGTCAACCTTCATGGAGTGGATTAGCTTTTGCATCCTCCTGTAGTTTTTCAGATATACAAAGTGATAGATTAGAAGTGCAATCCTTTAGACAGAAAGAAGTGCTACAACTCCCAGCATACAATACCAGCCAACACTGTTTTCTGTCTAAGTACTTATTCTTGGCCCTGTGCTGGGCAGTTTGCCTAATACCCTGACCAGCACCCATGGCTTGTTGTAGGGTTCTGGAGTGATTTCAAAGCTATCCCCCACCACATAGCCTGTCAAGTTTGGACAACATGGCAGGCTGTGCACTGCAAAGGTAATTAGGCAAATTATTACCTTTGGCAAATAATTACCTTGTGAGAAAGAAGCCACCACAGCTTATTTTCCTGATAATCATGTGAACTTGGGCTCTGACTGAATTCAAACTACACAATTAGCAGTGAGGGCTTATCAGACAGAGTGGCTTGTCATTTTGTCTGCACCCAGCCACAATTGTTAACAAAACATGCTGTTGGGTTCAGACAACATGGCTTATAAACCACTGAGGTTTATTGTGTTGTGTGAACCCCACCTTTGTCTGGGATTTTTGCCCTACCCCTCAACCTGGCCATTTTGGTTTCTATGGGCTTCTACCCTGTTATCCAGAAAATAAGACCTAACCGGAAAATAAGTCCTATCATGATTTTTCAGGATGCTCGTAATATATGCCCTACCCCAAAAATAAGCCCCAGTTAAGATTGTCAGCCAGACGGACGCATTTAGTAGATCCGTTGCAACACAATTCAGGGTTCAGAGAGCTATAACAATGTTCCCAAAGAAGATGACATGACTGTATTTGAATAAATGTAGATTTTTGTACATGAATATAGATTTTTGTACATGAATGAATAAATGTAGATTGTTGTACATGAAAAAATAAGACATAACCTAAAAATAAGCCCTAGAGTGTCTTTTGGAGCAAAAATTAATATAAGACCCGGTCTTATTTTTGGGGAAATACGGCATTTATCCTGCAGCTTTACTGAAGCTTCCTTTTTGCTTTCATTGTGGGAGCAAGAACACCTTCAGTTCAGGTATTTTTTTCACAAGCGTTTCATGTTTTATTAAACAACCACAAGGTGGTGATACAGTATAGCACAATTGCCAAAAAAATGCACAGCCATTTTCTAGTACTACTTAGCTCCTCAGAAGATAATAATGAACTTTCTCATTCTCAAAAAAGCTGCAATAATGGCTGGAAAAGACAGAGACACGCTGGAAAATTACAACATCATGAAAAGGACCCACAAACTTCCATGAGTGAGGTACCATGAGCACAAAATAAATGTCTTGTGTAGAGAAGCCCTATCAAATCTGCAATATTACAAGAGCTTATAAATATTTTGAGCCTGTCCCATGCAAAGAAAAGCCCCAAGAGGCTTCCTAAAAACATCAGGAGTCACATGCAAAGCCTCTAAAAAAAAACAAAAAACCCAAATTGGGAAAATGTGCTTGGATTCTATATGAGGGTCAGTGAATGTTATATCACAGACTAGGACAGCATGTGGCCAAGAACTACCAGAAGTACAGGCAGGATTTCGAAGAGGGAAAGGAATTAGAGATCATATTGCCAACATACGCTGGATCATGGAGAAAGTTAGGGAGTTCCAGAAAAACATCTACTTCTGCTTCATTGACTATGCTAAAGCCTTTGATTGTGTGGATCACAACAAATTGTGGCAAGTTCTTAAAGAGATGGGAGTACCAGACCATCTTATTTGTCTCTTGAGAAACCTATATGTGGGTCAAGAAGCAACAGCGAGAACTGGACATGGAACCACTGATTGGTTCAAAATTGAGAAAGGCATTCGGCAAGGCTGTATACTGTCACCCTGCCTATTTAACTTATATGCAGAGCACATCATGAGAAAGACAGGGCTAGATGAATCACCAGTTGGAATTAAGATTGCCTGGAGAAATATCAACAACCTCAGATATGCAGAAGATACCACTCTAATGGCAGAAAGTGAAGAGGAACTAAAGAGCCTCTTGATGCGGGTGAAGGAGGAGAGCGCAAATGTTGGCTTGAAACTCAACATTAAGAAAACTAAGATCATGACATCCAATCCTATCACTTCCTGGCAAATAGATGGGGAAGAAATAGAGGTAGTGACAGATTTTATTTTCCTGGGCTCCAAGATCACCACAGACAAGGACTGCAGCCAAGAAATTAAAAGACGCTTGCTCCTGGGGAGGAAAGCTATGGCAAATCTAGACAGCATACTAAAAAGCAGAGACATCACCCAGCCAACAAAAGTGCGTATACTTAAGGCTATGGTTTTCCCAGTTGCAATGTATGGCTGTGAAAGTTGGACCATAAGGAAGGCTGAGCACCGAAGGATAGAGGCCTTTGAATTGTGGTGCTGGAGGAGACTCCTGCAAGGCCCTTGGACAGCAAGGCGATCAAACCAGTCAGTCCTAGAAGAGATCAATCCTAACTGCTCTTTAGAAGGCCAGATTCTGAAGATGAAACTCAAATACTCTGGCCACCTAATGAGAAGGAAGGACTCCCTGGAGAAGAGTCTAATGCTGGGAACAATAGATGGCAAAAGAAGAAGGGGACGGCAGAGGATGAGATTGCTAGATGGAGTCACTGAAGCAGTCGGCGTGAGCTTAAGTGGACACCGGGGGATGGTGGAGGACAGGAAGGCCTGGAGGAATGTTGTCCATGGGGTCGCGATGGGTCGGACACGACTTTCCGACTAACAACAACAACAACAACAACAAAGGACATCACGGGAGGTTAATGACAAAGGTACCCATGAAACAGATTCTAATACATCTTATGACATTTCCCTGGATAGCTCTGTCCTTGTGGCATAGTTTGACACTGGTGGAAAAGTTTAATACTATCACTGGTATGCACTGAATGGGAACTTAGCCAAATGTCATATAGTCCATCTAATTTCACTTAGTCTTTCCTTAGCTGATTCTGCTGGCTTATGTCAAATGGTTACTAGAATGAATTATTAGCTGCCATCATACCCTGCAGTCTTCATTTGACACCAGAGTAACAATGCATCCTTTGCAGAACGGGTCTCCCGGCCTTCTTGAGTCTGAACAATGATGTCCTGGATCTATATAGAAAGAAAAAAAATCCACATTAAAGCTGCACCATTACACATACTTGGTTTTGTGCATGAGTGTATTTAGCCAATGAAGGCTGTGCAGCACCTCTTTCACACAATTACAAACAACAGACTGGATCTTTCTTATTATGCCTGGCAATATTTACTTATGTATGCTTCCTACTGTGTTAAAAAGTTTGCTCAATTCTTTAGAATGTTTAGTTGGCACTAACAAATAGATCATGCTGTATTTATTGTTCTGCTGCTGTACCTTTAGGCTTGCTTGGGACTATGTACATGAAACCACTGGGAAAGCTCAACCCAAGGTTTGGGCTGAGGTGTCACCAGTATGCTGATGACACCCAGCTCTACCTCACATTCATCTAATCCAGGTAAGGCGTGGCAGTTCTGAACCAATGCCTGGGTGCTGTGATGGACTGAATGAGGGCCAATAAATTGAGGCTTAATCCAGATAAAATGGAGGTACTATTGGTAGCTGGGTCATCTATCCAGTTGAGTGATATTTGCCTTGTCCTGACTGGGTTGCTATTCCCCTAAGAGACTGGGTACATAATCTGGAAGTGCTCCTTGATCCAGAGCTATCCTTGGAATCTCAGGGTGGCTGCTATGGCAAGGAGCTCTTTCCACCAGCTTTGGCAGGTCCATCAACTACAGTCTCTATCTGGATGGCCTAGATTGCAATGCTCTCTTACATGGGGCTACTCTTGAAAATGGTCCAGATACTTCAATTGGTACAGAATAGAGCAGCTAGGCTGCTAACTAGGACTTGCAGACAAGATCATATGATGCTGGTCCTTTATCATCTTCACTGGTTACAGATTGAAGTCTGGGCCTGATTCAAGGTGTTAACGCTGCCATATAAAGCACTAAACAGTTTAGGGCCTGGATATCTGGAGGAATGTTTCCTTCCATATACACCTGCTCAAACCCTACCATCACCCATGAAGAGCCTTTTCTGGAGGCAGGGGAGCCACCAGAAGGGCCTTCCCAGTGGCAGCACTCCCAACTATGGAATCTGCTCCCCAGAGAGGTATGCCTGGCACTGACTATGTTTTTCAGTGTCAGGCTAAAACCGTTTTTATTTTCTCAGTATTTTAACATCTGAATGTTTTTATCATATATATTATCTACTGTATATTGCCTTTTTACTGTTGTGCTGTTATTATTACTTTTTTTTGTAAACCATCTTAAGATTTCATTGAAATGTAAGATGGTATAAAAAAGTTTTAAATAAATAAAAATACCTTGATCATGGTTGTTGCAGGCCTGTTGTTTTTATATAGGGTATATTTGATTGTATATTTTATATTTTGATGCTGTTGATCTTGTATTATATTTTATGTGTTGATTATTTGATCTTTGTGCAGAGAAACAGGTGAGTGGCATAGAAAATAAATAATCTCCACTTTAGGATTTTTACCACCAAAGATGGTTCTTAAAATGGTTTACAGCGGGGGTCCTCAAACTTTTTTAACAGGGGGCCAGTTGAAAGGTGCCGGCGATGGGTGTGGGCCACCAACACGGTGCGGGCGGGGGGTTGGGCTGGGGGGGGGCACATGCGCACACATGGCGAGGCGCAAGCTTGCTCGCAAGGAGATTGTTTTCTCCAAGCGAGCCCAAAAGGATCTCTGCACGAGCAAGCCCCCGCCTCGCCATGCGTGTGTGCATGCACGTGCGTGGGGCAAGTCCAAAACCTCTATTGCGGGCTGGATAAATGGGCATTGTGGGCCAGATCTGGCCCATGGGCCGTAGTTTGAGAACCCATGGGTTACAGTATAATGGTATAGATCTTACAGCTACAGTCTAGAATATAATATTAAACTAAAAGGTAGGCACCTTTAGCCCCTTCAGAATGCCTTTTTCTGGGAATGTATCTAAAACATTATGCCTGTGAGAAGCAAATCATCCCTTGGTCACTGGTTTCAGTTCCCCAGCGACTGAGTACAGTAAGGCTTCCTTCTGAATAAATGCACATAGGATTAAATGAGTTCCTTCTTATCTACAGCATAAAAAAGATGGATTCTCAGGAGGGTATTATTACAGGCATATGTAGTCTTTTGTGCTGGACAGTGCAGAAAGTGACATTCCTGCTCCAAAAGGCTTACACTTGAATTGCTTTGAAAACCAGCATCAGTTCATGCAACAGTAAGTCAGATTAGTACAACCAAAAAGGAATTAGCTATCTTAGAACACTAACGTGTGCAAATATAAAAACACACAAATATACATGTGTGTTTATCTATGTATAATTTGTTTGCATAAGTACCAGAATAAGACATGTTCCACACTAAATACTTCACAGTCACTTTAATACACACCCTCAGTTTACAGAGGAGGCATAACAACCTGTTTGGCAGAAGCAACAATAGATCTTTTTTTCTTGTGTCATTCTTGAAGGAATTATTGTGGAGAGTTGCACTAAAAGCTACTAACAGAGCTTGGGGAAATAATAAATTGGTCTTTTGACAGTGAATGGATTGCTACTTTTATCAGAAGGAGTGAGAAAATTTCATGCCTGAGTTGCTCAGGAATTTAGGAATGTACTCCCTTCTCAATCTTTTCCTCCCAGCCCCATAGTAACTTCCCCATTACTGGGTGGCAAAAGCTGCCTCCTCCCTTCTTTGCTTTCTTTATGTCTTTTAGTGGTGTGAAAGTTAAAGATGGCTAATGGATATATTTGGTGGAGACCTCCCTTAACACATGGTGAAAATCCTGGCTTCTGCCAATCTATAAGAACTCCACACTATGAACTTGTTCCTGCCTAGAAGGCAGTATTAACTATCAGCCAAAGACAGCACAAGTGGATCTAAAGGTCCCATGTAACAGATGTGCATCTTCCCTCCTGTTGCTGTCAGAACAGGATATCCTACAGATGATCTACTCTTTTTTGGGGGTGGGGAGGTCAGATCCAGGACTCACTTGGAAGCGCAGGATGATTGTCCAGATGAGGCCTAGCACTAGACGGTGATTGCCATCAACAATGTCATGAGATCCCATATTCTCCAGATGTACACGCTGCTCCTTCAGGAACTGCAGGGCCTTGTCTACATTTTCCAGGCAGTGGATTCGCATGCGCCCCTTGGTGGGTTTGGGCTGTGAAATGTAGTCAAAGGACATTTCATAAAGATATTTCACACTTTCTGAATTACGTGCACCCAAGATAATTCTATTCTCTTTTCAAGAACAAATACCAGTGCTTGCAGTAGTAATGGGACTTCAGTGCTCCTCAAAAAAGATTCTAAACCTTGCAGTTATAGGAAAATGCAAGGTTTTCTTTCAAGAACAGGTGCAGAACAGAATACCAACAGGAGCCATGGCCTGAAATGGTGCCATTTTAGAGTGGCTTCATTGGCTAAAATCCTTCTTTCATGGGGCATATTGGGCAGTGGCTTCCCAGTGCCTATGAAAAATCCGCAATTTGTGATCTACATACAAATTGCACATTATTTATTATACAGAAATAGAAATTGTTATCTGCAAAATCCTCTTAGGAAGACAATGAAGAAAGCTTCCAGATGTTACCAGGGTCAAGTACTTCTCTTCTTATATGCAGCTTTAGTTTTGCAAAGGTGGAAAATAAGAGGAAACTCTACCAGCAGCTCTCCTGAAAGCACCTCCAGCAGCTTGATTAGCATCCGCCCATCTCTCAAGTCCATGTAGAGATCAGATATTCGACAGGTCACACGTGCTAAGTGGGAATTTACCCATTTGGTAAAGGTTTTCTTCTGTACAGCTTCCCGTTCATCTGAAAGCAGTCCAAATATTAATTGCCATACATACTCACTCATAAGAAAAATGCATTTTCACATAAATTCTGTATAATTGCTGGTGGAGTTTCTGGCATTCTGAAAATCAAGGATTTCGTTTTTGTTTTTAAGCTAGTTTGTTTCTATTTGAGGCCTTATAGCTTCTGTAAAAGGCCTACATTTGTAGTCACCAGTTTTCTTGGGACCAGTTTCTTGGGCCTGAGGCACATTACAAAAATAGTTGCCATAGCAGGTGCAGCCATCACAAAATAGCCATTTCCCAAAAGGTGAACTGATGAGGCTAAGAGAAAAGTAACTTGTCCAAGAACCTGACTATAAGGCAGAGCGGAGTCAGATCCAAAAAGATCCAAAATCAGCCATCTGAACCCATACTTGTCCTCCCCGACACCCATTTTTCAGAAGGCAAACTGAGGAAACAATTTAGCTGAGAGACTAATTATATACAAAGATAGAGTCTGAGCTCTGAATTTCTAATCATTTACTTGCCCATCAAAGGCATAACAAAATACCAATTTCACAGCAAGCAAGCAGACAAACACTCACAGACAAAACTCTCACTCATATAACAGTCAAACTCTCCTAAAACCAAACACATATAAAATCTGACAAAGCACAAACCTCACTGAAGACAAACATTCAAAAAGGCACACATATGTACTCACCACAAGAAACAAACACAAACATGCACAAACCATGTCAAAACAAACAAAAACCAAGAAAAGCACATATACACCTCCCCACTTGCTTCCTACCATCTTACTAGATCCCATAACACTCCTACCCAGTGTTCTTTTTCTCAGTGGAGGGGCCATAGATATAACTGAAAAAAAAGATAATGCTGGAGATTTTTTTTTAATGCAACCGTTCAGAAGGGGAAGAAATCCTGATGGACACAAAGGATAACACCTATAACCACAGTGGTTCCTACAGCTCCACAATAAGGATCCCAGGTCCTTAATGTTTGAGCAATAGACAATATCCACCTCTGCATTCTGCTAGGGCAAATGATGCTTTGTTTGTGGAAACTTGGTTCTGAATTACACACAACAGGAGAATCTAACTAAATTGGTTCAGAATCCAACTAAATTGTGGAAGGGGTTGCACAACTGGTTCTACAAGTGGTTGCTCAGGTGTTAATATGCAAGCTTTTGTGCAACAGAAAGGTTTGAGTTAGTAGAATTTGAGTTTGCAGTATGATAATGTTGGATATGGTCCAATGTTAATGAAGATGCCAAAACCCAGACGAGCTTTGTAAGAGTTAATAATTAATGCCCCAATCAGCTCCTTGTTCCCTGGAACCAGGGCCACCTGGCATGTGCATGGGACCTGGGATGCATGTGATATTGGAAGCCCTGCTACTGCAAGCTGAAAAGGTCTACAAGCATGTTGAGCTCTGATGAGTGACATGGCAGGGCACAGAAATATGTATAGGTGTAAAATGGGGTGGCTTTTGTTTTGCGGGAGGCAGAGCAAACTGCCTCAGTAGGCCAACCCTCTGACCGGCCCTCTCTGGCAGTCAACCCACACAGCTTCCTGAGAGCGTTCTGGCACAGACTGAGTGTGAGTTCAGGTGGCTAAAGAGTCCCAGTTCAAATCCCCACTTGGTCATGATTGTCCTTTGGTGGTCTTTGCAAATTAATATCATTCATCATAACTTGATTCACAGGCTTGTGGAACAGCTAAAGTAACACCAAAGGCCTTTACAACAAAAGACAAGCAAACAATATAATTTATTGATATATTTCTTTTTCCTTGATTTTCGGCAAAAAGTCCACATGTTTTGAAATCCTGGATCTAGGAGGCGAATAAATTAAAATAAGCAAAAACAAGTAATATCAAACGTTGCATTACATATACTTTTAATGCAGCAAGTTTAAATTGGGAGCTTTTATTTTGAAGCAAAAAGCAGCTGTGCAAGACCCTTCCAATCTGGATACAGGTTCTGTGCAGATTTCCTACCAGAACCACCCAAAAGTGCAATTTTCAGGGAAAATATTGGGGTGTATTTAGGACAAGAAACTGGCATGGGCTCCTGATCCAAACTGGTAGTATGATCTAAGTCAAAATTCTACACAACTAGTATTCCTTCAACATAACAGTGAACACCCTAAGCACACACTTGAAAGAGCATGTTTCAATGTAATATGTAGTTTGGTTGTTGCAAGTCACCTTTCACAATTAAAGAATCTTGTGTTATCTTTAATGACAGAATTTTTTCATATATTGGTATAACAGAGAAAGGGGGAGGGGGACACATGAGCATCATATAGTATGTCAGGTACTCCAGTATCTAAATCAGAAACCTCAGGCTGGGACAATCTAAGGCTACATGCGCTCAAGCCTAAGAGCCTTCTTCATATACAGACGATAAAGAGCTTGTGCAATATTGGCTTCTGTGATAGTCAGGCAGTATGAACTGTTTAGACTGGCCAGACCTGATCCAGTAAACAGTAAGACACTTAAACCTTTGCTCTTGCATGGTCAAAAGAGCTGCATGTTCTGCCTATCGCCCTTTGCAAGAGCAACATTTTAACCTTAAAATTTCTTTGAAAAAGAACATGAGCTGAAACTAGCTTCTTCACTATTGCAACTATACACTTCTTGTAGTTCAGGTATACAGATCACTAAGAGAGAGTCTGGATTTATTCAGAGAACTTTGATTAGGAGGAGTGTGTTCACAATTTGGCAGTCACTCCACTGCTAATTAAATTTCCCTGTAGGAGAAACTAAGTGAACACTATGCTGCTCATCTAACTGCATCACTGTAATTTAATTTAAACTATACTATCATTTTCCCCCACCTCTCTTTCTCTTCTCTGTAATGTAAAGATGGGAAGACAGGAAGCAGCCATAAAGGGCTATGTGTGTGATACTATTCATTCTCCCATTTTAAAATAAAACATGTTCAGAATGGAGTAAAGTCAACTTCTGGGAACAGCCTTGTGATATGTCAGTCTAAGTATCAGGAACTCAAGACCAGAATGTCTGAAATGTAATTCCCAAGTCATGTGTCAGGGCAACCAAAATAGCTACAGTAGTTACGAGAAATCACTGATAAATAAACAGCAGGGTACTGTTTGAAGCCATCTAAAGAAGTGACACATAGGGCCTAGGGCACTGTAATATCCTTTAGTTTTCAAGCTATACAGTCTCACACTCAATGAAGCATCCGCTTAGTCTACAAACCATACTGGTCTCACACTTCCATCCCCGCTTTTTCATCAGCATTATAGTCATTAACTCTGTGGGTTCAGGGATAACTAATCAGAACCAAGTGATCTTGGTATGCCACCCACACAGAACACACACTTAAGTATGTCAAGTTTTCATTAGGAAAACTTTCATTTATGCCTCACGATGTGGCAATCTGGGTTTGCTTCAGTGAGTTGTCAACAGAAAACTGCACCCAGTTCCAGCTTCTTGAGGAATATATCTGCAAATATGACATATGTTTGCAATTAGTCCCACTGCTTTATTCTCTTATTCCTCCATTTTTCACCAAAAATGCACCACCAGATTGCTTCCTGCTTTCTCCCAAGTTGTGCTAGGAAAAAAAATTCTGCCTGCTTATTGCACATTTTCCCTGCAGGGAGAAAGTGCATTTGACTAGTGCCTCTTCCAACTGCAGTAAATTTTTCCCCCTTAAATTTGATACGCTCCAGGTTCCTCGGGGCTTTAAGAGCTCTTTAGTCAAACGGATGGGATTGAATATAAAGGGGAACTGGGAGCTGAGTAATATCTACACAACAGGGCCTCAGCTTATTGTTGAGTTATTATTGAAGATTTTGTAAAGAGTCCTGACTTGAGGCAGATACCAGATTCAGATCTCGATGAGAGGGGCTAGAGTTGCACATAAAGCTTTAACATACAGTCACACCCATTATTTTCAGGTCAATCCATCAACCAGGATGCTATTTTCCTTACTGAGAGAATGTTGTCATGGCAGGAGTTCCCTTATTTAAAAAAAAAACAAACCCATACAATGCCCCCATTAATTGAACAATTCATCTGAAGACATGGTGATTAGGTTTGCACTATCATTGAGGAAAAGAAGCTACAATAGCTCTTCCTCCTTGCCCCCACAGCATGTGGGCTGCCCAAACACAGTGAGGTGCCTGGCAGGGGGTGGTTTGAAACCATTCCAGAACTCTAAACAAGCCATTCTGGGGTGGTTTGGAATCCATGCCTTCTGTGCATTTTGCTTAGTTCAGATGATATGGCAACTTGCCCACCTTAGGGTAATTAGGCAAATCACACAGTGTGTGACCAGCACATGTAGGATGCAGAGAAGAAGCCAGCATATTTTATTTTCCCAGTGTTTGTGTGAATTGGCCAGTGTTTTGTCATTGTAATGGAATCATTGATCTGTGTTTCTATGCTACAAATATAAATTATTTTGAGGATTATTGTTTTCCTAAAAGAACTGGCCCTTCTTTAGCTATTACTTTTAGTAGGGATGGAGGTAACCATTGAGGTGTCACAGGGTTCAGTCCTGGGCCCAGTGCTCTTCATCATCTTTATTAATGATTTAGATGAGGATGTACAAGGAAATATAATCAAATTTGCAGACGATACAAAACTGGGTGGAATAGCAAATACCCTAGAAGACAGAATGAAGATCCAGGGCGATCTTGATAAACTTGAACACTGGGCTGAAAGCAACAGAATGAAATTCAATAAAGACAAGAGCCAAGTCCTCCATCTAGGAAAAAGAAACCAAATGAATCAATACAAGATGGGGAATACGTGGTTCAACAGAACTGAAAAAGAAAAAAGCTCTCAGTAACTGAGGACAATAGGCTAAATATGAGCCAACAATGCGATGCCGCTGCCAAAAGGACAAATGCTATTCTGGGATGCATTAACAGAAGTATTACTTCCAAATCACAAGCAGTAGTAGTTCCTCTATACTCCTCACTAGTCAGACCTCACCTGGAATACTGTCCAGTTCTGGGCACCAAGATTTAAGAAAGAGGCA